CATTCATCATTCAGGAGTGTGTTGTTTAATCTCAGTGTGTTCATGTGGTGATTAGGGCTTCTTCCGGTATTGATTTTAAGCTTTATTGCATTGTGATCTGACAGAATGCATGGAATTATTTCAATCTTTTTGTATTTGTTGAGGTTTGTTTTGTGTTAAATTTTTCATACTCTCTGCTTGAGTGGTCTAGTTCGTCCACTTTATCTTCCAGTCTTGATACTCTGTTTTCCATTTCTTTCATCCTATTGGTGAGGCTTTCTCCTGTCGTTTCTAATTGGCTTACTGAGTGTTTCACTTCCTTCTTCATTTCAGCCTGAATAGTCTTCAATATTTCTAACACTGTTCTGAATTAGTTCAGAAGTTTATCCCTATCTTCCTTCAGTTCTTTGATTTCTTTTTTTGTGTGTTCTTTAAATTCACTGAATTCTTTTATCATGTTTATAATTGTTCTTTTGAGTTCCATGTCCTGCATTATCTTTAGGGGGTGCTCATTGTACTCCTCTAGAGGACTGTTGGTATTTGGTGGTGATATGTTATTTTGATTTTTCATGTTATTATTTTTTCTCTGTGATTTTGACATGTGAATTTCTTTCGTAGTTTCTGATTCTTTTGAGACTCAAGCCTTCAAGTTTAGTGAACTTTATGTGCGTTTATGGTTTACTTTTTGGACATGAAAAGCTCTAAGCTTCGACTTTTTGGGCATGAAAAGCTGGTTCCTCTAAGCTTCCAATTCTCTCTTTTGATTTTATATTGGCCTCCCACAGAGGCCCAAGTCAGATGAGGATCAGATGCTCTCAGGCTTTCTCCTAAGGTCTGGATCCCTCCAGGAAAGATTTTGGCCTCAGGAATTTGGGGGTTGGACTGGCCTAGGAGCCAGGCCCAGGAAAGATGCTGGTCTAGGGCAGCTGGTGGCCGTGCCACCCAAAGGTGCAAAGGAAGGTGGGGGTGGGAAGCGGCCCCAAGGATGCCTGGGGGTTGCACTGAGGAGCTCGGTTGGTCTGGATGGAAAGGACCAGGAAGAGGAAAGGTCAGCCCAGGCGTCCAAGAAAGAAGCTGGTGGGTTGTGCAGACCCAGGGAAGCGGAGGGAGGTGAGGGTGGGGCCAGCCGCAGAGCATCCCTGGGGACCCGAGAAGGAACTGAGTTGCTCTGGGTGCAAAGGATCAGGAAGCAGTGGTGGTTCCCCAGGTGTCTGAGGCGCCAAGACAAGGAATGGGACAGGACCCAGGCTAGGAGGAGAGACCAGTCCGGGAGATGGAAGGGTGAATGGGGCTGGGGGAGGCAAGTCATGGTGCATTCAATTGATTTACCCCGGAGAGAGAGGCCCATGGGTCCTCCTTTGCTTTTTTACTGAGGCCAGATATGCACAGACCACTGGCAAACCTTAAGTGTATACATGTGAAGCGGTGCAGTGGCCACATGGCATCCATATCAAGGGCATTTCCATAGTCACCACACCCAGGATTAGTACCCCCTGCTCCAACCAAAGCAGTCAGCACTGAACTGACCAAGGTCACGAGGATTCACTTGTCTATTTAAAATAGGACAAGGTGTGGGTTTTTCACTGGTGCCCGTTCTTCAGTGCCCAGAATGACTGAGACCTAGCCGTGCATGCCTGACCTGTGCGGTAGGTGCTGAGTTGCCCTTTCTGCTGTGGGTGAATGTTTGATGGTGCTGGGTTTGGGCTATTCAAGTGGCTCTGCTGTGAGCTTAGTAGGACATCTCCTGCTGTTCTTGGGATGCTTTCTGTGAATTCCAGCTACGGAATTGCTGGCCCATTGCTCCGTTTCCAGAGTGGCTGTACAGTTTACACTTCCACATACACTATGCAGAGGCCAAGTGTTACACACGCAGCATGTCAGGTGTCAGCTCCTCGGATCTCAGCGTCTTGTCCAGAGCCACCATGTGTCCCTATGCTCAGCATTTCCCTGGGAGCTTGGAAGCTGAATGCCTTCCATATGTCAACCCTCTTCTTTTGTGAAAAATCCACTTGGGTGATTTCTGCATCTGGGAGGGGCTGTCCGCCCTTACCTGTTATGCTCACTCTGTGGTCTTTCTTCGTGTGTGGGACCCTCAGTCTGCCTCCAGTTTTGTCACTTAGGTGGAATGACATGGGCACTTTTAATTCTGATGTCATCCCCTGGTCAGTTATTCATGTACTCCTGAGAAACCTCCTGCCCCCAGGTCATGCATTCTTCTCCATTTTCATTGTTTTAGCTTTTACCTCTAGTTCATTTGTGCTAATTTTTGTATGCGGAGTGAGAAGGGTCAAGGTGAGCGCTTCCCTGTGGGCATTGTACACAGTGGCTAAAACACTTTTTTATTGAAAAGACGATATTCCCTGCACTGTGGGGTGTCTGTGTGGTATGTCTGTGTTGAGTCTCCCTCTGGACTTCCATTCTGTCCTGTCCATCCTCAGTGGGGCTGGGCAATTACTATTGTATGCAGAGACTTCCTGTGCCTTTTCTGTCCTCTGGCATAACCGTCATCCTTGATGTTGGCTGGCTGGGCTCTGCTTTGTTTCTTTCTTTGTGTTGCTAACCCTTTTCAGCCCAGAGGTCCAAGTTCCTCCTTGCAGTCAGTGTTGGGGGCCTTCTCAATTGCTGATCTTAGGGCACTGGTTCCAGGTGCCTTTCCTCCTCACTCTGCCTAGCTGCTCTCTGTTCCTGCTTTCTGGTTTGTTCAGGTTCCATTTTATGTTCACGTTCTTCGGTCTGCTTTTTTTTAATTCTGTGTCCATGTCTCTCTGTGTCCGTGTCTGTGTCCATGTGTGTGTGTGTGTCCGTGTGTGTGTGTGTGTGTCCGTGTGTGTGTGTGTGGTGTGCATGTATTCGTGTTTGCATGTTTAGGCACTCGTGTATATACACGAGTGTGTGTGTGCATGTGGAGGCCTGAGGTTGGTGTTGAGATCATCCTTGATAGCTTGTCCACCTTGTTCAACAAGGCAGTCTTTCAGTGAAGCCCAGAACTCGCCGATGTGGCTAGTGTCCCTAGCCTGCTTGTTCTGAGGGTCCCATCTTGACCTTCCCAGGCTAGAGTTAGAGTCTGCACACTTGCTCAGCAAGCGTCTAACCATGGAGCCACCTCCCCAGCCCACTTCTCTTCGCTTCTTGAGATGTAAATTTTGATTACAGTTACTTCAACTCTTCTCTTTTCCAAATAAGCATCCACTTATTATTTATTTCATGTGTATGTGTGTGTAGACACACATGCCATGGTGAACTTATAGAGGTCAGAGGATAACTTGTGGGAGTTAGTTCTCTCCATCTACTGTGAGGGCGCCCATTGACCTCAAGTTGTTAGATTTAGTAGTGGATGGATGCCTCTACCTTGGGAACCATCTCACCAGCCCGAGGTAAGTGCCTGAAGCCACACATTTCCCTCTGAGAGCCCTTCAGTGTCCCACACTCTCCTACATGTCAGTTCATTGTCATCCAGTTCAAAATCTTAATTTTTTGTGATTTTTTTTTTAGCGTGCTGGTTATGTAGAAGTATATCGCTTATCAAAGCCGGGCATGTGGCTCAGGCCTTTAATCCCAGCACTCAGGAGGCAGAGGCAGGTGGATCTCTGTGAGTTTGAGGCCAGCCTGGTCTCCATAGCGAATCCAGGCTAGCTGTGGCTACAGGGAGGCCCTGTCTTAAAAAAACCAAAAAAAAAAAAAAAAAAAAAGAAGTTAGTATACTGCTTATCACTTCATTATTTTATTTATTTATTTATTTATTATGTTATTTTTATTTTATGTGTGTGAGTGTATTGCCTGCATGTATGTGAGTGCACCCATGTCATGTCATGCAATGCCACGGAGGTCAGAAGAGGGCTTCAGTTTCCCCTGGAACTGGAGTTAAGAATGGTTCATAGGCACCATGTGGGTGCTGGGAATCAAACCCGGGTCTTCTGCAAGAGCAGTCAGTGCTCTTAACCGCTGAGCCATCTCTCCAGCCCCATTATTTATTTATTTTTATTTTATGTATATGAGTGTTTTGCCTACCTATGTGTCAGTGTACCTGTGCATACAGTGCCCTCAGAGGCCAGAAGAGGGTGTCAAGTCCCCTGGAACTGGAGTTACAGCACATTTGTTAGCCTCCATGTAGGTGCTGGGAACTGAACCTGGGTCCCTTGCAAGAGCAACCAATGTTCTTAACTGCTGAATCGTCTCTCCAGCCCCTGCGTAATTATTTTTAAAATGAAGGCATTTTCTATGTGTGTTTTACTCCCATTTTCTATGCTAACACTCATTCTTTAATCTCTCTGACTTTACCCCCAACACTGCAGCAAACCCACCTGGCACATGAGATTTCTGTTTGTTCTGTATTAGCAAATATTACTTATGCATATTAATTGGTGTCACTATGACACGTTCATACATGTACACAATGTGTTTTGGTCCCCTCAAGCCTTCACCTCTTCTTTGCTACAGGTCTCCACCCTGTCTGACCTCCAGCCGTACATGCGCCAGTTTGTGGAGCTTCTACAGGACCCGAGTGCTGGTGCTCTGAGAGACGCCGTTGTCATTGAACAGGTCCTCAGTGACAGGCTTCCCAGTGATGGGCCATACCTAGCGGGGGCCCTCTGCCCCTTCTGGGCTGTTTATCTTAGTGTGGGATGGGACCAACACACTCCTTGGCAGAGGTTTCATGTAGTCAAGGCCACTGTCCTTGGTGGCCCCCCACAATCAAGGTCCCTGTCTCATTAGCCACTTAGCTGGACAGGCCAGGTTGGGACTTAACTTTGAGGTGCCCTTTCTACCCTCTTGCCCCCCACTCTGACCCTGCTTCAATAGTGAAGTGGCAGAAGTGTCTTTTCCCTCAGTTTTGACCTTGAGGCCATAGGACAGTTCCCCTGCATTTGGTGAGCAAGGTGGGCTTGACTTGTGATCCTGTCTTGGTCCTCTGTATCAGGGGGTCGGCTCCTATGGCTCTGCAGCTTTGGTGCCTGTGCTACCTTTGGGGCAGCTATGCTCGCTGAGACCCCAGAGTAAGTTTCTTTGGCTCCTCAGGATGCTGTACAGGCTCCAGGGTTCCAGACCCAGCACTGCAGGAACTGAAGCGGTGATGACCCATTTAGTAAATTGCATACCCTGTCAGCTTGAGGCAGATTCGACCTGGTCAGGCTGGGGGCACTTGATTTTGGCCCAGCCCTGGTGGCTTTGCCATGCACACCCGGTCTCAGAGACGTGTGGTGACACCCTGCTGCGGTGCTCTGCATCCTCAGACTCCTATGTCTGCCTTCCAGAGCTCCTGTCTGAATGAGGCCAGCGGCAGCCTGTTTGACTTCTTCCTGCGATTTGTGCACAACAGCATCGTGAAGATCAGTGGCAGGTGGGCACAGGCAGGGCAGGTGGGTGGAGGACCGTCTGCCTACAGAGCAGGTGCCTCCTGACCGGCTGTAGCACTTAGAACATCACTCGCTGGTTGCCCCTCCTCAGTCCTCCCTCCTCATTCCCCTTGGTATTTTCTTACCCCTCTCCTGGCTGGACCACAAGGCTGCCCACACACCAGGCCTCGTGAGCCCCTGGCTAAGCAAGGCCCTGATGCAGTCTGCGTACCCTTCAAAAATCACCACTCTGAAGAGGGGAGCTCAGGCTGGCTCTGAGCTCTGTGTCTCAGCCCCACCAACCTGCAAGGATGTGTGTTCTGTGTACCTGCTCAGGTGTGAGGTAGGGTGTTTGGGCATTTGGTTGGACCTTCTGCACCCAAAGTCTCCACTGAACAGAGCAGTGGGTGTGCACTTGGCTCCTTTTGCAGGTTCTATTCTGGGCTGGCAGGAGCCTGCAGGTGTGGCCACACAGAGAGGAATTCCAGGCCCACTTTTCTTTTTAATGTATACTTATTGGCACATGATAATAATCATTACTGTCTTATCATGGGTAGCCACCATATGTACTAGAAGGTAACTGAAACTTAAGGCGTGCATTCTGGGAGACCACCAGTCACAAGTGGGCAGCAGATTGGATTTTGGCAAACACTGACAGCAGAGGGAATTCCTGAGTCCTGACCATGCTGAGCACAGATTTGTGTGTCTGTGTGTCAGAAAGCTTAGCCCTCATGTGGGTCAACTTGAAACTTACACTTGAAAGTAAGACTCGTGCCCCCTTGAGAGCTTGCTGATAGTGGCTCCTGCACAGAGGATTCTGAGTCAGGACTCGGAGGCAGTTGGATGTCACCTCACACTCATTCTTGCTTACATTGGGTGATTTTGCTGTCTTGCTCATCTGAAGATACCCACCCCTGCCAACACCTACATGCATGTTTGATTTGAGGCCCTGATCTTTCTGGGCATGGCCACCACCTAGAGACAGTCTGTCATTAATTGTTCTACAGAAAATGAGTCCCAGATACTCAGTTCTTGCTTGAATATAGTTCTTGCTTAAATTTTAAAGCTTGGGACTGGAGAGATGCCTCAGCAGTTAAAGAGTACTGGCTGCTTTTGCAGGGGACCCAGGTTCAATTTTCCAGCACCCACATGGTAGCTAACAACTGCCCATAACTCCAGTTCTAGGGGAATCTGACGTCTTCTGACCTCAGTGAGCATCACATGACACGGATGCACTTACATAATGCAGGCAAAATACACACATAAAATTAAAATAATAACAAAAATATTAAAAAATTTAAAACCTGGGCTGGAGCAATGGCTCAGCAGTTAAGAGTACTGACTGCTCTTGCAGAAGACCCAGGTTCGATTCCCAGCACCCACATGGCGGCTACAAACCGTCCTTAACTCCAGTTCCAGGGGAATCTGAAGCCCTCTTCTGACCTCCGCAGCATTGCATGACATGGGTGCACTCACATACATGCAGGCAATACACTCATACACATAAAAATGATAAATATTTTAAAAAATAAAGAATTTAAGACCAAACAAAATCCATGGAGTAAGAGAATGGGGATGTAGTCACTACCCCATCTTGCAGAGATAGTGGGAACAGGAGGGTGTGTATGGGTGTAACTTAATTTGGTGTCTTTTTAGGTATTGGCACACTGACAATGGCAGATACCATTGTTTGTGCTGGGGGAGGTCTCTGCAAAATGGTGTCTGTATATCTATACATGATGTCTGTGAGAGAGAGAGAGCTCCTAATTGTTTGAATATAATTCTTAAAATTTAAAACCTGGGGCTGGAGAGATGACTCAGCGGTTACACATACTGGCTGAGAGAAAGGGACCAAGTGGGAAGCCCACTGTGGCCGCTGCCTCTAACTCAAACCCTCCACACCCCCACCAGGTGCTATGTCCAGTGCCAGGGCATCCCTCAGGGCTCCATCCTGTCCACCCTGCTCTGCAGCCTGTGCTATGGGGACATGGAGAACAAGCTGTTTGCTGGTGTACAGCAGGATGGGTATGTGCCCCCCTTACTGCTCCAGGGGTCATGGATTGGCATGTCTTCTCACATCACATTCCTGGCTCACCAGGTGCCTCATTTGCTTGATCTTGAGAGTCAGGCAAGGCCCTGCCCCTGCTTCACAAAGAGCTGTGTAAATGTTTCACGTTGGAGCCCTGATAGACAAATTCCATGTGAACCCTGTCGGTGTGTCTCATTTTAGGCTGCTTTTGCGTTTGGTTGATGACTTTCTGTTGGTTACACCTCACCTGGCCCAAGCAGAGGCCTTCCTCAGGTAAGGATGGTCACACCTGGGCTCCTGCTGTACGATCGTGATGCATATGTGGCTGAAGTGGCATATTTAATTAATTCATAGTTCTGTGTGCCTGGAATTCCTGTTGTCCCTGAGGCCTGAGCCTTACTACAAAGTGACAAGGACGCCTGGCCTGTGCAGCTAGGCCTCCCAGGAGGAGCTCACAGTACCCACGGCCAGGCCTGCTCTGTCCACTGAGACTCTAGTGAGTTACAAGCCAAGTGTGCAGTGCAGTGAGAGACCAGCTCAATGCAAATATTTGGAAAGTCTCCAGACAGGACAACAGGCAGGAAATCCCACGCTCCTCAGCAAACCCACAAAGGGCTATTATAGGGGCTTGAGGCCTGGGACGTTCTGGAAGACATGCTGTCCCTGGGCACAGCAATGCCTGACAGCCTCAAGGCTGCACATCACCATGAACAGGGATGCCTAGAGGGCAGATCCATGACTTTGGAGCTATTTGTCTATCTACCTACCTTCCTTTTGTTTTTTGTTTTTTTGGGTTTTGTTTTTTGGGTTTTTTTTGAGACAGGGTCTCCTATAGTCCTAGCTGGCCTGGAACTTGCTGTGTAGACCAGGCTTGCTTCTATCTCTGTGAAATCTACCTGCCTCTGCCTCCAAGTGCTGGGATTAAAGGTGTGTACCACCACATCTGGCCTTGACTTATTTTTGTTTTTTATGTGTATGAGTGTTTTAAATGTGTGTACCAAGTGTGTGCAGTGCCTGTGGAGGCCAGAAGAGGGCATCAGATCCCTTGGAATGTGAGTTATAGCTGTTAGCCACCATGTGGGTGCTGGAAACTCAACCTGGGTCCTCTTTGAGAGCAGCCAGTGCTCTTAACCATTGACCCACCTCTCCAGCCCCTGGAGTAGTCTTTCTTTATGGGATTATTGGGGAGAGACTAGAAAGTTTAGATTTAATGAACAGTGATGTTTTAAGGCATGGGGGTTACATGGGGAGTAACCTTTGTTCTTTTTGACATGTAATATTCATACTGGTAGGGTTCAGTGTTTCTACTAGGGTGTTCAGAGTACATAGAGGTCAGGTCAGGGTCATGGGACGATACGAGGTTTGGTTGTAAAGTTGATTTTTATGGCTCAAACTAGAATCACGCATCAAGGCCCTGCCTCAGAGAAGGGATTATCGGTCCCTCAAGCATGGTGGAGTTGTGTCCTTCCTCAGAAGTCACTCAGCCAGTAGGCAGTGGCCACGGGAGGGCAGAACATTACTGTCATCTCTGCCCCGAGGGCTTTGTCAGGGAGGTAGCTCTTAGTGAATGTCAGTCCTTCAATGGGCAGGGTGGGTGGGGCTCTCCATGGACTCCTGTAGGGGAGAGTCACTGAGCTCCTAGGAGGCAGGATACTCCCTACCCCATAACTCACAGATGAGGGCCCTAGGAGCTGGCCAGGGCAGCTGCAGGGACCAATCACTAAGGACTAGAGATGGATGGCCTTGAGTAGTCATACCCAGGGTAAGGAGCCAGGTCTCCACCCCGCTGTGAGTCGTGTCCCCTCCTCCCACCCTAGGACAGGTGCAGGCCGCTTTCAACTTGCTGGAAAGGCCATCCACAGGCAAGTAGACTCTGCTTTAGCACCAGCTGATGAAGGATGTAGTCTGGATCTACAGTCGTCTTGTAGTAGCTCCTAGACTATATATAGACCTTGGGGTAATGGAGGACAGATGCCTTGCTACTTGGATGTAAAGACGACCATCAGAGCATCATGTGGACCTTCCACCTTGTCTGAGGCCAGGTCATTTCATTCTGAACTGGCTCCATTGCCCACCTAGAAGATAGGAGCTCTGCTGGAGTTCAGAGCAGGACTGTGTCTGGCTCCTACCAGGCCTAGCTCTTTCTGGTCCCAGAACACCTCTGGGGACTTTTGTGGCCTGCACCGAGTTCTTCCAGGGTCTCATGACAAAAGCTTCTTCTTTTACTCAGAGCCCTGGTCCGTGGTGTGCCTGAGTACGGCTGCATGATAAACTTGCAGAAGACGGTGGTGAACTTCCCTGTGGAGTGTGGTACTCTGGGTGGTGCCGTTCCCCACCAGCTGCCTGCTCACTGCCTGTTTCCCTGGTGCGGCTTACTGCTGGACACTCGGACTCTGGAGGTGTTCTGCGACTACTCCAGGTAAGCACCCTGGCCAGGCTGAGGTGCCATGAACTTGTGGGCGCAGAGGGCACTGTGGGGATGCCCCGTCCTGTTCCTGCTTTTGGGTATGACAGTGACCCTGAGGCTCAAAGTGCCAGGGGCCATAGAGTGCCCTCCTTCTGACTGGAGATGGACATGTGAGCACATCTTCAACCTCGGCCCCAGCTTCCTGGAAGCCATGGGCTTAAGACAAGAACTGATCCTAAAAGGAGCCAGGGCTCTCCTCTGTGAGTTACGGGATAAGGAGTGTCCTGCCTCCTAGGAGCTCACAGCCCAGCCTCAGGCTCAGCACAGACACATTAGATTTGAGATGGGCACAGGTCTTGAAGAGATCTGGACCATTTCTTTCATGAGTAAATAGTACAAAGTCGCTAACATGGTAGGAGACGAGCAAATCTGTGTTCGTGTTGACACCTCCAGCTCTTCTGAGCTCAGCTGTCCGGATCTGAACTCTCTCCAAACAGTCTGGGAATTCACATGGTGAGGAAAGAGGCCTGTGCAGACACTGCGGGGGGTACCTTCCCCCGCTGCTGCTCCTGTCAGCCCAGACCCTGGTTCCCCGGCCTCCATAGCTTCGTGGGGGTGAGTTAGGCTGGTCCCTGGGATTTAGCTCCGATTCTTGGCTTTACCTTCTGCCTCCTGGACCCAGTTCTACTGCCCAGACCCTGCTGCAGGCTGAGCATACCAGTCTCTCCTGAGTTATCTGCTTGCCAGTCCACTCCCCATGAGAGTGGCCTTTTTGAGGCTGGGGGCTCCTGGAACTACCTCTGTGTCACTGAACGGTAGGTGAGAAAGTTGGGAAAACGGTTCCCTCTGAACACACTGGTGAGGCCGGAGAGCAGCACACCCACCTGTCAGGCTGTCCCTGGGTGGGGCATTGGAGATCATGGTAGCACGTGGGTCAGAAGGGTTGTGCACCCGGAGGCATCGTGCAGAGCAGCCGTAAGCTCAGCTACTAAGGCTGCAATGCAGGTCTGCTTCGCTAAGCTGAGGGTCCTCCGGTCTGAGCCAGGGTCGAGACACCTAGAGGTCAACCAGCGTGACTAGCAGCATCCTGAAAACGGAGAGCAGAGCAGTGGGAAGCTCTCATTAGATTTCATTACTCCCTGGACCACAGTGCTCAGATGAAATTATAGAACACTGCTCCGTGGAAAGCTGTGTGTCCCAGGGTCATACAGTGATTTTTCAGGATCTGTGGTGGATTGGTGCCAGGACTCCCCCAGACAGCAAAGTCCACACTGCTCCAGGCTTTCCTGTAAGACAGCCTAGTGTACACTTAGAATCTGCATGTGTCCCCATATGCTGTGAAGCAGTCTAGATTGCTTCTAGTAACTAAAATATCATAAACATGGCTGCTACACTGCACTGGCCAGGGAATGATCACAAGAACGGTCTGCACGTGTTCAGTATAGATGCAGTTTCCCCTTGAGGACCCTCAGTCTGCGGCTGGGTGAATGTAGATCTTCTGTTTATGAGTACGGCGGCGTGTATCTGCAGTGGGAGGCATAGCTGATAGAAGAGACTAATTGTTTTATTTTCCTGAGAAAACTAGAAACACTGTTACTTCAAAACGTATGCCAGATTTTGGGGGGAAAGGCATGAAATGCAAATGGTAATGACAGTAAGAAAGCGTGACATGTTAGAACCGCCCAGCGCAGCAGGGAGCCTGTGGCATGTGAAGCAGAACTCTGCAAGGTCTCGGGTTCAATTCTCAGCACTGCAAAACCAAAAGCAAACCCTTAAAACGTCCTCTCCTCCCGAACAGCGTCCCTGCCTTTGTTCTGGTTCAGTGTGTGATGCTTCGTGTGGTGCTGAAGCTCCGTATGTCAGCACCTCACCCCTTTCCCACAAGCACTTTTGGAGGTAGTGAGGAGCAGGCCACTCCCCTGGTCACCTGGCTCTGATCTTCCCTCTGCCCTCCGTGTTCTACATACGTCAGGCTTGGAGCTCCGGGCAAAGTGGCACAGGTGCCTTCAGGAGAGGTCCTGTGCAGTGGGGCCACAGAAGACAGTGTGCTTTCCCACGTCCCTGAGCTCACTTTCCAGGTGCATCTTCCAGGGCTCTGTTGCAGAGGGCTGGGGTCAGAGTGAGTCTCTAGAAAATGACTTGCCGGTACTATGACCTTAGGGTGTCCGTTCATTCTCCTAGTATCTCCTAGAACCTCCTAGTACCTCCACATCTGCACGTTGATCCTACAGAGAGGACCAGAGACCACTACAGATTTTACTTGAGCATTTTGGGAAGTCAGGGGTGCTGTGTCTTGTCCACTGACCATAGCAGTGGCCAGAAGTTGCTGCACTTCACAGAAGCAGCCTTATTCTGCCAGGGACATATTTTCAATCATTTAATGACATCAGAACATTCAAAAGTCGGTGTAGGGGTTCGATTCCCAGTATTTGCGTGGTGGCTAAGAACTGTCCTTAACTCCGATTCTAGGGGACGCTGACATTCTCTTCTGACCTTCGAGGCATTGCAGGACACGGGTGCACTCACATACATTCAGGCAGTACATTCACACACATTAAGAAAAGCGTTGGTGTAGGAGTGATGGGCTGAGGGATGACTCAGTGCTTAAGAGAAATTGCTGTGCAAGAAAGAAAACCCGAGTTCAGATCTCCAGAACCTGCACAGGAAGCCAGGTACAGTTGCATGTACTTGGAACCCTAGTGCTCAGTGAGGAGGAGGCAGGAGGGTGGAGGCAGCTTGCTGGCCATCAGCCTAGCTCCAGTTCAGGGAGGACCCTGTCTCAGGGGACTAAAGTGGAGAGCAATAGAGCAGACACCATATTGCCTCCTCTGGCCTCTGCACACATGCATAGGCACACACTCACACATACATACATACATACATACATACATACATACATACATCACATAAAAGTAAATGAATAAAAGTTTTTTTTTAAAGCACGTTTAGGGCTGGAGAGATGGCTCAGTGGTGAAGAGCACTGGCCACTCCTGCAGAGGACTTAGGTTCAATTCCCAGCACCCACATGGCAGCTAACAACCATCCATAACTCTAGTTTCGAGGAATCTGACACATTCTTCTGACCTCCTTGGACATTGCACAATACAGGCATACCTACCTACATGTAGGCAATGCATTCATACATATAAAATTTTAAAAAATAAAATAATTTTTCTTTTTTGGTCTTTTTGAAGCAGGATCTCCCTGTAGCCCCAGCTGTCCTGGAACTCACTTATGTAGACCAGGGTGGCCTTGAACTCAGAGATCCACCTGCCTCTGCCTCCCAAGTGCTGGGATTACAGGCGTGTGCCACCACGCCCGACTTCATGCTTCTTTCTGAACCATGAATTTTGGGGCCGTTGTTTGCCACTGATGCACAAAGGTCCAGTGATCGCAGGTCCAGGTAAAATGAGTGTTGTCTGCTACATCCTGGTTGAATTTGGTTGTCCAGGGCCTAAGGTACTGTGAGCATGTACCAAGAGCCAGTATATTTGTAGAATATGTTTCGTCCACATATGAAGGCCCAGCCCTGTCTGACTCTCTGGCAGAGGGGAACAGGAGGTGGGAGGTTCTGGTGCTGCCTTCCCAGAGAAGGGGCTGGTACGAGGAGCACAGCCACAGCAGCCCCTCTGTCGCAGCTATGCCCGGACCTCGGTCAGGACCAGCCTCACCTTCCACCGTGGCTTCAAGGCTGGAAGGAACATGCGTCACAAGCTCTTGGCAGTCTTGCGTCTGAAGTGTCATGGTCTATTTCTAGACTTGCAGGTAAGCACTGGGGAGTGGCTTCATCTGTGGAGCCTTTGTGGCTGTAGATCCTGTTCTATGTGCACCTGTGTATGTGTGCACATGGGTGTATGTATAGCATGCATGCGTGTTCAGATACATGTCTGTGTATACAGGTGAATGTGTGCTCTGATATGGATATGCATGAATGTGCAGGTGTGCACACACCTGTGCGAGTGTAAGGAACGTGTACATGCAGGTGTCTGTTGAAGACTACTGAGCGCTCACCCAGCTCATCCCTGTCGTTTCCCAGCACTTTCCCCACAGAGGGTCCCTGGATCCTGGCTGTGGCCTTGGGCTCTGAGGCCATGGCTGCTGAGGGGGCTGTCCTGGAGGGACCTCTGTGGTGAGCTTTGGTTTCTGTACCATCCTCCTTCCCACCCTTCTAGATGGCACAGGGCCTGGCTGAATTTGCTGTAGATTGGAGAGGTTTCTCACACAAGTGGTCTTAGCAGAGTGTACACCTTTGCAATCCCAGGGGCCTCCTGACATGCAGGTGGTGGCACCAACCACATCTCTTTCTGTTGGGACTCCAGGTGAACAGCCTCCAGACGGTCTGCATCAACATATACAAGATCTTCCTGCTTCAGGCCTACAGGTGGGTCATGAGCTGTGCCGCCACTAGAGGGAGGCACAGGCTGGAAATGCAGGCCATGTAGTCTGCCGTGGCTTTTCAGCCCATGGCAGAGCTGGCTGGTGGCTTTCCCTGGTTGGGTGGCTCGCTGGACCAGGTTTAGGAGAAGGTAGCATTTGGTCGGCAGCAGGTGTCTCATCCACATAGCTCCATATTGGGCTGATGGAGAGCCTCTTCCAGTCTCCCCACGTTGACTGCACATGTGGCTAGTGTCTTGTGACCCTGTTGCTGACCAGGGCCTGCAGCTGTCCTGAGGGTCTACCTCAGAAGGCAGAGGGTAGGGAAGTGGGGAGTTCAAGACTTCAGAGAGCAGAGGACCAGTGCTGCTGCTGTTGTCACCAGCCTTACACCCCAGAAGGCACAGCAGGGACATGACTCAAAGTAGCCTTGGCTGTTGTGATGCCCCCCCCCCCCCCACTGGCTTCTGCTTCTAACATTACGGCCCCTGGTTGGTCTCGAGAACTGGAGCTGGCGGCTGATCAGTGGAGTCTGTTCTTAAGTCTCAGGCAGGAAAACACCTCCAGCTTAGGCTTCACTAAGCCGGACACTGTCATTCAGCACATGGTCACTTCATTTTGGCCACAGGAACGCGGCATAGGTTCTTTCTGTCTGGGGTTTCCTGTAGGGACCTCCCCACACCTTTCTGGAAGTGTCTGGGGTGTACATATGTATGGCTGATGTGGAGTTCATCCCAGGGTCTGGCCACCTTGTTCAGGACTTCCTGGGGGTGAGGAAGTCAGCCAGGTAATGTTTCCTGCTTGGGGCCTGGGCAGCCCCTGATGGCTAGACCTCCCCAGACCTCCAGTGTAGACTTACTTTTGCCCTTGTTCCCCACAGGGTCCCCATACTCCCAGGTACTTTGTATAGACACTGCCTTTTAGGGGAAGGCTTCCTGTTTCTCATGGGTGGCCTCATGCAGCTCTTGGGGCCATACATAGTCCCCCATTACAGGAGTGCAGACTGCTATCAGTCCCCTACCCCTTGGGCAGAAATGGCTGCTTCGGAGAACAAAGGAGCTATGGCAGGTGGGCCCAAGAGCCCCATTCCCCTGGAGGCAGGAGGGGGACGGAAAGCCAGGCAAAAAGCCCTGTGTATCCCTGGCTCTCGGCAGGTCTTGTGTGGAGTCCTAGGACACAGACATTCCGGCGGAGGCACCAACCCACCACCAGCCTACAGCCACTGCTTCCCTGGAGAAAATCGTCACAGGACAGATTTTCTCCCACTCAGTAGTGTGTCTGTCTCCTAACCCTGCAGCCCGGGGCCTGTTTGTGTAAAAACATTTTGGGTCTGCCTTCCTTCACTGGTAAACAGGGATACTTCCCTCATACAGGGCTGTGTGCCAGGCTGAGTCCATGTTGTCTGCTTGATTGACGTGTTCCCGAGAGAGGTCACTGGTCATCACGAGGCACCTACCTGGGAAGGCACTAGACACATGGCAATATGCATGAAGACGTGCCCATACATGCTTGTGTGTTCATGTGCAGTTTATGAACACATACATGCAAACTACATGAACATACAGTACACATGGTACACAGAAATGTGTATAATTTACATGCGTGCATAGACATGCACATGCCTCTATGTACAGATGTGATCCTAATGGTCAGGGGCCCTTCTCACCCACTGCGGCTCCTGCACAGGTTCCACACATGTGTGCTGCAGCTTCCCTTTGGCCAGTGCGTTCGGAAGAACCCCTCATTCTTTCTGGGTATCATCTCCGACACCGCCTCCTGCTGCTACTCCATCCTGAAAGTCAAGAATGCAGGTATGCAGTCGGGCTGGGGCTGGGTGTGCTTTTGGATGGGGCAGGCATCACCTACAATGCTGGCCAGGCCAGGGTGCTCGGGAATGAGTGTGGCCAGCCCTCATTCCTGAGCCTAGACCCTAGCAGGTCCAGAGGGTGCTGAGAGTGTTCTGGAGGGAAGTGAGGGCCTGGGGGCTAGGCTGGGTTCCTTAGCCTCGGCCTGCTCCCCCAGGGATGTCACTGGGGGCCAAGGGTACCTCTGGCCCATTTCCCTCCGAAGCTGCACGTTGGCTCTGTTACCACGCCTTCCTACTCAAGCTGGCTGGTCACCCTGCCACCTACAAGTGCCTCCTGGGGCCTCTCAGGTCAGGTAAGTATGGGTGGAAGTGAGCTCCTTCCTAATCCCCAAGTCTGCCTCCAAACCCTGAGTGCCTGGGTGAGCAGGCCGCCCGACCCATCCCCCATCCTGCTGGGGAGGAGCCCATGCAGGTGGGTGGAGTCGGCTTGCAGACCATAGCTCCCCACTTCATGTCCACCCTGTGCCTCCCATCTTGGCAGAGGCCCATGGTTGACCCTTTCCACTCTCAGGAGCCTTCTGACCCCTGCCTGGTCCCTTCACAACCTCTGTCTACTCCCCTGATACAGGGAGGACTCAGTCTTCAGCTCAAGTCTCCCTTGGGTCCCCAGGCTGCTCCTGTTGCCCCTCTTGGGGTCTGTGTCTGCCTCCTGTGGTAGTATCCCTGGGCTGGGGCTTTTGCTCCCGGAGCTTTTTCCTGTCTGGGTGGCACATGGCACGTACTTGACCCAGGAAGGCTGAGGAACTCTGGCCTCTTCTGGAAGTTTGAGTGCATCCCTTTGTTGAAGCCCAAAAACAGCTGTGCCGGAAGCTCCGTAAGGCAGAGGCAATGATGACCGTCCTTGAGATTGCAGCTGACCCAGCCCTGAGCGCCGACTTCAAGACCATCTTGGACTAACCTTGGCCCCTCAGCTGAGTGAGCATAAGCACTGGCTTCACCATTCCTGAATCTGTGTCCTGGGAGGGGCTGGCCTGCTGTGAGGCTAGGGTGCACTCCGAGACCTCTGTGCTGTGGGTGGTAGTATGGGAGTCCGTTCTAATGTCCGTCATTGTGCTTGGTTTCCTCCCTGGTGTTCTCAGGGAAGCAGACCCACCCCCTCTGGTGACAGGCTCTCCAGCCACCAACCGTCAGGAGAGGTGGAAGACCAGTGTTACAGGCGTTGGGACTATGGACAGAAGCGAAATGCTGCCCTGACAGACCATGGTGTCTTCAGCCTGTGGAGCCCTGTCGCCGTGCAACCTCTTAGTGGGGGCTTTCAGGGACCTGACAACTTCTGGTGTAGTGTTACACTGCTGGCATAGAGCGATGGGGAGGCCTGTGGGGTGGTAGTGAAGGGTGGGTGACTGTCCCAGGGTCAGCATCCCCCATCACCAGGAACATGTCAAAGCCCACTCCTGAGGAACTTCTCGGCAACAGAGACCTTACATCTATCCCTGTCCACCTTGGCTCACTCTTGTTGGACCCCATGCTGGCTCCTGGGGTGTACGTATACCATTCCCACTGCCCACCATCCAAATGGAGACCTTGGGTGCCCAGGACTGGAGAACAGCTCCCTATATGCTTTTTAGTTTAAAAAAATGTCTGCTGGGTGTGGTGGTACTTGCCTGTAATCAATCTCAGCACTTCAGAGGCTGAAACAAGATTGTGAGTTCTGGGCTAGCCTGGACTGTATAGTGAGCCTTTGTCTCAAAAATAAAGATATCACCAAAATGTATTGTGTTTACGTTATAATATGTACTCCCTAAGCACCGTTGTACATAAATACAAAACACGTGTGTACCGATGTTGCGGATGGGACACCACTCTGTCTGCTGCCCGTTGAACCCACTCCCCTCTGGCCAGAAGGTGCCACCCACCAAGTGTAGTATGTGTGAATGTTCCCTGAGAACCCCAGCTTGATTTAAAGTTCCATCATCTCTGGCTATTATCTTCAGTATGGACCACCTATTGTGATCTTTCCAGAGTGTTTGAGGTTGGGTGCTGGGTTCATGGACAGGAGGGTAGTGAAGGTGGAACCCTGGTGTCATGTGCTGTTTCTCTGGTCTCTGTCTCCTGTCCAGACTCTTACCCTCTGTCCTAGATACTGGACCTAGGCAGGTGGACATGTAAGTGAGCAGGGTCTCATACGACATGTGTCCCTCTGCCAGCTGCACCCTAATTCTGACCACTGGCTACCAGGAGGAAACAGCTCCCAAGCTTTTCAGTTTTGGAAAATCTCTCTTGGCTGGGTGTGGTGGTTCCTTCCTGTAATCTCAGCATTTAGGATTGTCTGACTGTGGATTGCCTGTGTCAGGTGCTACCCTGAGTGCTGGACTTAGGGACACAGTGTCTAGGGCAGATGTGTCAACAGCAGGTATATTGGAACAGGGGATGGAATTGTAGAAATGGAGGTTTAATGAGCTAATTGAGCCAGTGACCTACAGGTGAGTCTCCAGTGTCAGGCAGGCTTGTGGTACTTTGCCATGGGGATCAAGGTGGGGTGTTAACACACAGAACTGGGCAGGGTCCAAAGCTTGCGTGTCGGGGGGGATAGTAACAGTGGCTAGAGGGGAAGGGTCAGCAGGGAGGAAGGGTTGAAAGTGCCCTCTGTGAAGGTTGGGATTTGGGGTGCTGGCTTGGGAGGGGTAACACTGGCACCATGAGGATAGTAGCCACACCTAGGTGTGGTGACATGTGGCCTGCTGATGGGGCAGAATAGAATGACTACTTGTGAGGGGAGCAGGTAGCCTCAGGTAACTGGGAGGGAACTGTAGAGAAGGCCTCTGACTCGCATCCCAGAGCACTTGCTGGGTCCCGCTGGGCTGGGTCTCAGGTATCAGGGTAAGCAGGTCCGGATGCCTGGTGGAGTCATCAGGGCACGTGTTGAGACCCTCTGCTGGGTGTGGAGGAGCCTCGGGTGTGGCACTGGCTGTCAGCTCTTCCTTGCTCTGGCCCCAGAGTGGAGCAGACAGCCACTGGCTCTGTTCAGGATCAGCTCCACAATGAGTAGGTAGGTAGGGAAGCCACAGGAAGACAGGCCTGGCAGCTAGAGGCCTCTGTCTATTCACTGTGCTGAGGTACCACCTCCCCCTGCAGACCAGCATGGCAGCTCTCCAGAGAGAAGACAGTTCACAGTAGAGCTAGACAAATGTTCTTCAGAAGGCAGCCCAAGGATCGAGGGCCAGCACAAAGGGCATGGTAGTGTGAAAAACAGTTCCCTGCCACAAAAGGTACCTTGGGCAAGACTAGCTGAGCTGAACTGACATGTGCCCAAGTCACATTTGATCAGCTGTGAGCAATTCTAGAAGCTTCCAGGATATCTCTGATGGAGCCACAGAGATCAGATATCTCTGGTGTACCTTGAACGTGGTTTGCAGTGCTGACACAGCCTGATGGGCCCCGTCTTTATGGCAGTTCTTCCCGCCACCTTCAGCGCATAAGCTCAATTGCATTTATGATGGACTAAAGTCCAGGCAGTGGGTCATAAATGCACCCAGTTTCAGGAGCCTCCTTATGGACAATGCAGGCTCCAGACTTGCCAGGAAGCCGGCTGGAGCCAATCTAGCCAAGAACAGGGGACGATTAGTAACGGGATTAGAACAGGGTGGGGAATCCAGGAGCTGAGGTCATGGCTCAGCACACGACTACAAATCTGCCACATGGGTTAGGCATACTGAGGCTCCTCTGGTGCACCAGTGACAGGTCATATCAATCACCCCACGACACCAGGCGTCCTGTTTCTAGCAGGTGCATCTTGCTCCAGCTCTCTTCAGGACTACTTATATTCATACCAAAGTATTAGGCCCTTGCTAAGGGCTCTTGTCCTGATCAGGCCCAGCTCACAAAGTGCTGAACTCTCTCTTCAGCTACTGTGGAGATCGTCAGATCTTCCCAGGACCAAACAGAAATGACAAAACTGAAAAGGCAGGGAGGAATCTAGTTTTGGGGTTCTCCTAGATATGAACCCAAAGTTCTCTGTGTGTGTGTATATGTGTGTGTGTGTGTGTGTGTGTGTGTGCATGTGTGTGTTCCATAAACACATGCTTATGGAGCAAGAGGAATTCAAACTGGGGACTGGGGAGATAGCTCAGTTTGTACAGTGCTTGCCTTATAAGCTCTCCTGCACTTAAGAGGCATCAGGGCCAAGTCCTCGCCTCACATGGGCTTGGAGGGAGGGACCTAAGCAGGACTTGTACCCTGTGTATGCTGGTCAGTTTTTGTAAACTGTACACGAACTAGAGTCATCTGAGAAGAGGGAACCTCATCGAGGAATTCCCTCCATCAGCGTAGTCCGTGGTCATGCCTGTGGGGTATTTTCTTGATTGCTACCTGCTGTAGGAGAGCCCAGCCCCCTGTGAGCAGTGCTGTCCCTTGACACACAAACACTATGATAACCCACAAAGCCCTGGGATTGCATCCATAGCCTGAGTGTGCCCACTCCACACTCACTCCCTGAACACAATGGCAGGATCTTTTCCGGTGAGTTCAGTCTCACTTTCCATAGGCAGGGACTGCTTCCCTTCTAACAAGTGGGTGTGTCTGAGCAGGCATTCCGAGGAAAACTTGGGACATAGGATTACCTTTCACCCGAGTCTAGAGGGTTACCGCTCCAGATGGAAACCTAACCTTAGTCCAAGGATGGAGCTAGGCTGAAGGAAAACGTTGGGAGAGGAGGGGAAGGCTCAAATGACTGGGGCAGCCGTCGGGACCATGTCCGTCTTAGCGTTCACAGGCCATCATAACTGCTTCATTTCCAAGTTGACATCACTGTCTTGACAAAGGGGCTTGTCCTGTGCTGGTGTTTTCCTCAAGGGCAGGGTCCAGTTGAGGGTGCCTTGCATGTGGGTGTAGCAGTGCAGGTGCAGTCCACTAGCTCTGCTCTGCAACCTGACTCTTGACCGCCTCCTCCTGGTTGGGCTTCGGCAGCCACCCAGCTCCCAGGGCACTCCCAATGGCCCTAAACAGCCCGTTGGTAGAGGTTGGTGTGCTTCTGCTGTTTCGGACTGCCCATCTGTCTGTCTGTCCGTCTATCAACCCTTGCATTCTATCCAGTTATTTTCACAGCTGTACTTAGCATGTTGGCAGAGTAGAATTGTCTAGGGAGGAAAGCCCCTTAGCTTTTGCTCTCTGGCTGAGCAGAGCTCTGGGATGGGTTGTACATACCGCCAGTTTAGCTCCTGAAAGAAGGGACATCTGTTTGAGGTGCTGGCAGAGCCCACACTGCTTTTGTGATGTTCTGCACATAAAGTCTTTCCCTAGCCAGGGATCAAGGGGCCTCTAGATATTTTTGAAACATGATATGGACATAAAATGCACTTTGAGAAAGTTGGGTGCCTATTACATCCCTGCTTATTGAGAGCTTCCATTAAAGGAAGAATGGATTGGCCCTACCATGGAGTGGGTGACATCCCCAGGGCCCCGTCAGTCACACCCCACTTTGCTAGCTTCTAATAAGGTGACCTCACCTTTCTTGCCAGTTAATGATAAGCGTGCTGTGAAGGACAGCTGTGCCTTTGGCTGACCAATGTCCCCTTCATACCTAGGCTCTTAACCTCCTGTGCCTGTGTGAAGGCTCTCCAGGCTCAATCGGTCAGCTGCCCCTGAGATTTGATGTCTAGGCTGCGGGGAAGGAGAAAATTCATCTGTATCACACACCAGAAAGGAGCTTGCAAATTCATGGGGAGGCCCTTGCCTGACACACCCCAGAGCTGCCTATGTGAGCTATGGAGAGACTCGCGGGGACCATATGAGCTCCTGGATCCAGTGGGGCCTGAAGCTTGCCTGACCTTGGGCTAGCCACTTGTGGGTCAGTGAATGCCATTTAGTTTGAAGCCTTCACATTGGTTGTGTTGAAAGGAGGACTGGCCAGCGGTGAGAACGCAGCGTCAGTGAGGTTCATGAGGCAGGATTGTGGAGCTGAGCTCAGGGGCACCGTGCCATTCTCCACGGTGGCTTCAACACACCATAACATGCTTATTTTCACATCCCTCTCATTCTGAGAGGCATCACTGTTCAGGATGTTGGGGCTAGGAGCAGGACTCATATCTGTGGGCTTGAGCACTTTGGGTGGGGGACCCTGGGGGTCTATTCTGTGTGTAATGCTCAGGAGATCCACAGGCAGGCAGTCCCAGAAATCCCCACCTATACTTTGAGGGCTGAGCTGGCCATGGAAAGGATGCTTTCCAGGCAGGAACCACGTTTTCCACACACGTAAACCTTGTTTGCTGTAGCTTTCAGCACCACGGACAGCATAATAGGGTCAGACACCCCTTTATGACAACAGGGTCTGTGCCTAGGCAGTTACTGGCATCATAAAGCCACCAGTTGGTGTACATGCCTCCGTGGGGCAAGTCATAAATGGATATCCTGTTCAGACTTCAAAACTGACCCTGATTTCATGGTGCTCACGGGGATGGTGGTGCACAGAGGAGAGAAGGAGGGAGGTGAGCACTGTGGAACTGTGGAGGGGGGCCTTCCAGGGCTTTGAGGTTCCAGCTGTGCCTGCGGGCTGCAGAGGACTGGGAAGGGAAGGGTCCTAGTAAGCGAACAACAGTGAGTCAGTGAGTGAATGATTACCACTCTCTTGAGAGTGAAAACTGACTGACCAGCAGCTTTTTTATAGCTATTGACAAGCAAAAATTAGACCCTAGAAAAATAGAACAACAACTCCAGTAGATCAAGGACCTCAGCATAAGACCTGACACCCTGAATCTTTTAGAAGAGAAAGTAGGGAAGAGTTGAAACATGTAGGCACAGGAAAGGACTTTTTGAACAGAACTCCAATAGTGCGGGCATTAAGTCCGACAACCGACAGATTGGACCACGTGGACCCAAAAGCTTCTGTACAGCAAAGGGTGTCATCATTCGAGTGAAGAGACAACCTGCAGAATGAGAAAGAATCTGTACTAGCTGTACCTCTGAGAGAGCGTTAGTATCTGGAATAAGCAAAGAACTAAAAAAAATAAACATCAAACACAAAACAATCCACCCAATTTAAAAAATTGGGCAAAAAATGGAACAGGAACTCCTCTAAAGAAGAAACACAAATGGCTGAGAAATACTTTTAAAATGTTCAACATCTTTAGTCATGAGGAAAATGCAGATTAAAACCACTTCTAGTTTTCTGTTAAAATATTTTATTTATTATTTTTATTTTATTTTTGTGTGTATGAGTGTATTGCCTGCATGGCTGTAAGTGCACCCATGTCATGCAGTGCACACCGAGGCCAGAAGAGGGCGTCAGATACTCAGATCCCCTGGAACTGGAGCTCTGGATGGTTTTTAGCTGCCACGTGGGTGCTGAGAACCAAATCCAGGTCCTCTGCAAGAGCAGTCAGTGCTCTTAACCACTGAGCCATCTTTCCAGCCTCCAAACTACTTTTAGTTTTCATCTTACCCCACTCTGAATGGCAAAGAGCCAAAAAAGAAATGATGACAAATGCTGGTGAGGGTGCGGAGAAAGGGGAACGCTTATCCATGCTAGTGGGAGTGCGAACTGGTGCAGCCACTATGGAAATCAGTGCAGAGATTCCTCAAAAAGCTCAAAATTGATCTTCCATACGATCCAGCTTTACAACTCTTGAACATATACCCCAAAGACTCTACACCCTAGTATAGAAATGCCTGTTCACCCATGTTCATTGCTGCCCTTTTCATAACAGCCAAAAATTGGAAACAATTCAGCTTTCCATCAACCGAGTGGATGATGAAGGTACATAATGGAATATTATCTGGCTCTTAAAAGGGAAACTTGCAGGCAAATGGATGGAACTGGAAACAGTCATCCTAGTGAGGGAACCAGACCCAGAAAGACAAACGCACATTCTTTCCCATAGCTGGATGCCAGATTTGAGATCCCAGATATGCAAGTTTCAATTTAAAAATCCAGAGAAGTCAGAAAACTAACAAATGGCCATCGACAGGGGAGACTTCTTGGGAAGGGTGGTGGAATGCAGAGATTGAAAGGGAAAGGGGGATAATAAAGTAGGAAGGGCTAAATGTGGGGCATGAGAAGGCAGGGCAGAGGAGGGAGATGGGGGGGTTAACCAACACTAACGGTCTCTAGAAAAAAGGCACATGGAAGCCTACTACTATATGAGCTTCTTAAAGCATATACATATATTTTTTAAAGAGATTAAAAGGAGTTATCAGAGGCTGGAGAGATGGTTCAGTGGTTAAGAACACTGTCCTTAAAGAGGACCTGGGTTTGGTTCCTAGCACCTATATGGCAGCTAACTGACCATAAATCCATTTCCAGGAGATCCGATGCTCTCTTCTGGCCTCCCTGGGATTTGCACACACATGTATTCAGGCAGAACACGTATACATAAAATAAAAATAAAAATTTTGTAAAGAATTTACCTAATAACAGGGGGACACTGTCCTTACTAGACACCATAGGTTAATAAAATAAAACCCCAATATCTGGAATGGACTCCCTCTCTTGAAGCTGCTGACCAGGGGTCCCATAGATCCTCAAACACTACTAGCCATTGCCATCGCTCTTGGTTACCCACCAGAACTTCACAGTAACACCCTATTGCTGAAGACACCATCTACATGAGCTGTAGAGCAAACAAGGAGAAACAAAGCTGGTGCTCTAAAGCCTCATTTCTACTGGCTGGCATTATTAGCGCTGGAAGGTTCTCTATGTTACTGGAAGAGAAAAGTAATCATCAACCTTACCCATCTGTGAATGCTGTGAGCTACAACAACTAGCAAGGCAAAAGATACCCATCAGTGCAATAGTGGCATGAATATTATGGGAGCAACTAACCACTTTCTAATTGGATTTAAAGTCTTTTTCTTAGGATAAAGCCCATACTTGACTTTGATCTCAAGCCTAGAAATTTAAGGCTAGACAGGTCACAGAACATAGGGGAGAACCTAATACTAGTTTTCTGCTAGTTAATATCAAACTGACTCCTAATGACTTTGTTACACCCGTAGATTAATGCATCTCAGTTCTCATCACAGAAGCTTCCTTATGCAGCAGATGGTGATTAACATAGAAGCCCACAACTGGCCAATGTGCAGAAAGAGGTTACAGAGCACTTATCCATGAATTGACACTATATCAAACTTCTGTCTCCCCAGCCTCAGGGATCACTGTGGAAGAAAGGCTTTAAGAGCCAGAGGTGGTGAATGACGACAAGGAAACAGTCTTCCAGACAGCTGGTCAGTTACTAGTATGAACTCACAGCAACAGTGACAGCACACACAAGTCCCAGGCAAGCTCACACCAGACAAAATCCCAGCATAGATGTGGGGAAGTGGATAAGAAATCCCAACCTTAACTGAGGAGCTGCTGACAACTGATGGCCGCTGGGAGGGGGACAGTCACTGTTTCAAGGATGTGACTCAGTAGGCTAACCAGACTCCAACGGATGAACCCACACTGAAGAAGACTCTATGAGCTTTATTTTATAAGAGAGAGAGAGAGAGAGAGAGAGAGAGAGAGAGAGAGAGGAGAGAGAGAGGAGAGAGAGAAGAGCGAACATTAAACTGGGTGGGGGAAGTAGGTGTGGGTGGGTAGGGATCTAAATACTATCAAATTGTATTGTATGAAAATCACAAAAATTCAATTAAAAATTAAAGCTCAAACAACCAACATTCAGGGTATGTCTTCAATAAGGTCAGGATCATCTTCTCAGCTTGTGGCTTCCTGTGCACTGAGTGTAGAGATAGCGATTCTGGGTTGTCTAATTGATGGTCTTCTGGCGCCTGTAGGTCTCCTCACAGACATGATGACTCTGCACTGATGTAGGAGAAGGAAGGGACATCCTCCCTCAGAGACCAGACCCTGCTGGTGTGCTAACCAAGTCCACTCAGTATGCATCCCAGGTGGCAGCTATGGCCACACAGACATGGCCCTGTGGGACCTGGCTCAGGGGAATGACATCAAAAAGATACCCACTGGACACCATGCAGCTGCCCAGAATCCATGAGTCTTTCACCATGCAACAAGCTGGGAAAGCAATAATCCCGTGGTCTCAACAGTGGACAGGATGTAATGAGGCTGGATCTGAGTGGAACAGGTCTGCACCCCCCCACCCCTGACGGCCCTGGCTCTGCCCCTCATCAGCATCTACCCTCTGGCTTTGGACTTCTCTCCAGTTGTGTGTCCTTCCACCTCTGTCTGTACTGGGACAGTAGCTGAACCAAAGCAACTCCTGGGACCCACAGGGAGGGCAGGAAGGACAAGAGCACGCAGATGACCTGCACCCAGCCCGGGTACAGCTTCTCCTCCCTTGAGGGGAACTGCTCCTGTGGGGACAGGAGGGCATACTCAGACAGGTGTCCTGGCAGAGACTGTATCACCCATCCCTGAGTGGACCCAGGCCGATCCTTAGACACCACCAACTTGAGTGAAGTGGTAACTTCACCCCCTCTCCCCAAGCAACAGTGAGCACACAGGTTCTCAGTCGGAAAAATGGAAGACTTTTGGCCTCCTCTGCCCAAGCCCCTCCTGGAGGTGGGAACCACCAAGAGGCCAGCTGGGGATGCCTAGCTTTCACCCCGAGTCCCTAGCTTTCTCCCCTGTGATATGGCAATACCACCCACCCTACTTCAGGGGCTTTCTGCCTTGGGCCTTATAGGCAACCATCTGCCTACATGCTCAATTTCCCAGTTGCCAGAAGTGGCCAGGCCACACTGCCACGTGTGGGTCATCTGGACCCTGAGTGACAACCATGGAAGCGCAGGCCAAGCCTGAGGAGCCTAGTCCCACAGTAAGGACTTACATATTGGGGATTCCAAGCCTCGTAGCTGGGTGGTTGCTGGGCCAGGAGAATGACGTAGGATAGCAAGATACTGAACAGCAGCATAGGGCTCACCACCCGCCATATCACCCGCCAGTAGAGGGCAGGCCGCCGCCCAATCATCCACTCGATGTCATCACAGAACCTGCAGAAGACTGGCCCTGACTCTCTTGTGTGGCTTCATGGACAGCCCACCCTTTGAGGCCAGGAGCAGTGGGCACTCCAAGCCCAGCGTGGACCCCAGGGCACCTCCTTCAGAATGTTTTTCAGAATATGGGCAACTGTGGGTAGACCTACTCCAGCAGGTCTATTTCCTGTCCTGCCCTGTTGGAGCCCCATGAGAACAGCTTACCGTTTCATTCCATAAACATAAATGACCCCAACCACCTCCAAGAAGGCAAAGATGATCAAGTTCAAAGAAGCTGCAAAATTGTCAAAAATCTCCAGCCAATAGCTTCCAGACTGCAGTGTGAAACACATTGCTGAGAGGAAGCAGACCAGGCAGACCAACCCTAGGGACAGAGGTAGGCAGGGTGAGGGACAGGGGAGAGGAGGGATAGGAGGCCCTGGGCATCAGGAAGGTCTTCAGGCCTCCCTTCTCCCATGCCTCTGTGCTGTGCCCAGCACCAGGAGGACCTGCTGGGGATGGGGCTCAGCCTCTGTAGGAGCAGAGGGAAGGGGCCTCCCTTTCCCCTACCTTCATCCTCCTCCTCCAACTTGGGGCCATTGGGACATCCCAACCTCCAGAGGGATGCATGGTCCAGCCTTTCCTGTGGTCTTGGACATGATCCCTAATCTCTACTTTCAAGATAGGTCCTTGGACAGACAGCAGGCAGGATGGACAGAAGGCCAGGAGGGTGGACAGTGGGGACAGGCCCTCCAGCTGTCTGAACTGTCCACTCACCAGTCATGGCCTCCTTGGGGATGCCTCTGGGTAAGACTCCCATGTCCAATAGTGGTGTGATGACCCCTTCCATGTTCCCAAACATAGAAGAGAGACCCAGAGTGAACAGCATCCCGAAGAAGAGCACAGACCATGCAGGAGCACCCGGCATGTGCAGGACGGCCTCCGTGAAGACGATGAAGGCCAGGCCTGGGCCTGAGGCACTCTGCAACACAGAGGCTATGCTGTAAGACATGTACACACTCCATATCATAACATGTGAACCCACACCATGACCAGTGTATGCCCCACACTGTGACACCTGCACACCCCATACTGTGATACATGTGCATCCACACTGTGATGTGTGTGTACTTCACAGCATAACACATACACATCCCACATCATAGCATGTACACACCCCACATCATGACATATATGCACCTACACCATGGCCTGTATGTGCTCTACACTGTGGCACATACACATCCACCTCATGATGCATGTGTACCTACACTATGACACATGCACACAGTCACACCATGACACATATGTACTCTACGTTGTGACACATACACACCTCACATATATACTCACCCTGCACCATGACATGTATATACCCTGCACCATCACTTTTGCTTTGCACCATGACATGTGCACACCCTACTCCACTACTCCATGTTATGTGTGCACACACATGCCTTCTAGTGTCAGTCCTGGGAACACAGACCACAGGTGCACCTCTGAGGGAAGAAACTCCTCCTTGAATAAGGAACATCGGCAGCTGAGCAAGGACTCTAGGGTCTTGGATCGGGCACCAGGAGCTGCTACCGAGGATCTGCCTCCTGACTAGTCATCCTCAGTCTGCCCATTGATCCCCAGCATCCACTGACCTCTGTCACCCAACTCTGGCTGCCCCTCCTGAGCTCTGTGTCCTAGTGATATTGTTACCGTAACATCATCCTGTTCCCCACTCCCCACATAGATGGAATAGGGTCCTTTGTTGTGAGTCCTTGGGCCTCGGCTTGTGTCTATGGGAACTGTTTCCAGTCTTTTGAAGCCCAAGTAGAGCTCTGGTTTCCTATGCACAGCCCTCCTGGCCTGCCCCCATGGGTACCTTGTCCAGAAAGTCATCCAGATGGCAAGTCTTCAAAGGAAGCCTGGCCACCCTCTCAGGCTGAGTGGCATTCAGGTGCATGAGGACAGTCGGGTACTCGTCCCTGGGGATGCTTTGCTCCGGGAAGTCAAACTCGTTGATGAGGCTGAGGATGTTTCTGCAAGGGCAGAAAGAGATTGATGAACACAAAAGGCTAAATGCTCTACCCTGGTCAGCAAATGTTCCAGGGAAATGCCAGATCAAGCAACAGCATCCCAGGGAGGACTTGATGCCCCTGTACCCTTTGATCTAACCAGCCCTGGAAAGGGAAGGGTCTCTCCACCACTGAGCCTGGGAAAGGGGCATCTCCTTTCTGGGTAGGAACAAGGTGGGGTGGCCTCCCCCTCAACAAGGGAGATGGGAGTTAGGGCAGCGGACCTTGGTGCTGTCTACTTGATACCGGTTTTGCAGCAATGTAAAGTACAAGAGCTCTAGGGCAGAAAAGACTTCTACCCAGAATTCTAAGGAAAGCCTGAGAGGCCAGGCAATGTGAGATAGGGTCCAAATCCCTCCAGGCAACTGCTAAGAAGGCTGTTCGGGTGACGCCTAAGCTGCGGTGGGAAGCACAGGATGCTGGAGATACCAAGAATGTCTGCCAGGGAAAGCGGCAGGCGGCAAGAGGAGCCAGCCTAGGAGAAGGGCCAAAGACCATGGGAGCAGGGCTGTCCGCACCTACTGGGGCTCACAGCACCACCACCTGTCCTGGGTGCTGGACATGGAGCTGTAGGATTTAATATTTGCCCTCTGGTGTGGGCTCTTGCTTTGGTTGAGCCTTACTTCCTATTCTTCTGTTCCTCCCTTTGAGAATAAGAATTTTGACTCTGTGCCATTAGATCTTGGAACTCTCTGTCTTTGATCCTACAGTTGCTCAGAGCTAAGTTTGTGTCAACTTTCAGAGGAGACTTTGAACTTTGACTTTCGAGCAATGCTGGAACTGTTAAGACTTTGGGGACACTTGAGATGGACTGAACACATTTTCTGTTGTGAGATGGCCATGGGCCTTTGGGGGAAGGGGTAGAATGTAATAGTTGAACTATAAAATGTACTCCACAGGGTCATATGTGAAAGCCTAGACCCACAGTAGTACTGTTTTGGAAGTTCTGGAAACTTAAAGAGGTAGGACCCAACTAGAGGAAGCAGGTCATTGGAGGTGTGTTCTCAGGAGGTCTTGCTCCTGGCCCGTTTCTCTTTCCCCGCCTCCTGTTCATCATGAGGTACAAAACTGCCATGTATACTCCTGCTGCCCTGACGTCCTATGCAAGCATGTGGGGCCAAGCACCCATGGACTGAACTTTCTGAAACCATGAACAAATAAGTGCTCCTGCAGGTTGTTTCTGTTAGGTACTCCGATCACATGATGAGAAAAGTAACAGGCACCCGCCTCTTCCAGCATCAGGTGGCCACAGCATCACTCAGCTGCACAGCAGCTCCCATTTTCTCCTTTACAGCTGTCTCCTCCGTCTACCTGTCATTAGCTTAAGGTCACCCTACTTTAGGATGACCTAGGTCAACTCTTACCTTAGATCCTTTCCAATCAGGTCACGTTCTGAGGTTCCCAGAGGATAGGAACTTTTGGGGGACACTCTTCAACCCATTCCCCTGAGGAAATGGGACACGCCCATATGTTCTGTGCATATGTGGATCCCAGTGTGGGCACCCGTTTGATGGCCATGCCCTGAAAAGCCCAGAACAGCACCTGTGCTCACCTGTCCAGGCACCGCCCATAGTCATTGGTTGCCTTGAAGCCCATGATGGAGAAGATGGTGATGGATGCATACAGGGAGGTCATGCTGTTGACCAGGGCAATGGTCACAGCATCCTTCTCACAATTGTTCCTGGACACAAGCACATGATCATCATGGAACCATGTGATGTCACCCTGAGTCAGAACCAGGCTTGCTATGGGAAGAAATGAGGGGTGGGCTTCCTCCTTGTCCCCTCCGCAGCCTGAGATGTCCTCACTCTAAACCCAAGGACTGAGGGGAGATGTCTTCAACCTCTCCCTTCCACTCCACCCTAGTTCAGAGTCATTGAGGACCTGAAGCATGTGAGGGCTGGGCATTCATGAGGGGCACGGGTTCAGGTTTTTTTAAAAAAACTATCTTCCAAGGAGAATGCATACAAGTGGACTTTGAGTGAGCTCAAGGCAGGAAGCTGTCACAGCCACTCAGAACCTCTCTTGGTCCCAGACCACAAATCCTTCTCTGAAGACTTCTAGAGGGTAGAGCCATTCAGAAATCTTTTAGGTCCCACAGAAAGGTGGACGGCTACACAAAATTAGTTTGTTAGAGTCCATCACAGTATGTCCCGGCAGCTTAGCTTATGACTAGCGGTACTGCACTCTGGGTGCTGTGTGCTCCCCAGTCTCCAGCAGTAGCATCCCTGTGGATCAGCATCATGGTGTCAGCATCTGGGCTACTTCAGGAGACCAGCAAGGCTAACATTGCATTTATGCTCCTATGGTCCGTGTATGCGCCTTACATCCCCCTTACATCCCCCTTACATCTGCGTGTATGCGCAGACCCCACCCAAAGGGGGTTTTGGTCAGCATTCTGCCTGTCAGGAGTTAGCTAGGGGTAGGCAGTTAGGGCAAAGGTCAGAAGGAGGGAAGGGAAAACATTCCCACTTAACTTCAGGAATGTATCCAAATAAGGCTACACACCAAAAAATTAGACAACCAGGCCGACAAGGCCATCCGTCAGACCAGAATTTCTATTTTTATTCTCTGACCTTGCTGGGGCCATTATGGGCCAAAAGATAAAGTGTAGAGGGAAGCAAAGGACAGAAAAGCTATGGACCCTATAAAAGAATCAGCCCAGAAGTCACCCTGGTGGTCTGCCAGCTCTGCAGACCCCACCCAAAGGGAGTCTTTAGCTCTTTACCCTCTGCCTCAATAAAAACCTGCCTCACGCCTTGCACTCACATACATGCAGGCAATACACTCATAAACGTAAACTAAAAGTAATAAATAAAATATCTTTTAATGGAATTGCCTGTGTCAGCCATACCAAAAAGCAAAGCCGGGGGTTGTGAAGGATGGGAGCTCACCCATGACCACCGATGGTCACTGTCACAGGGACTCTGCTGAACCACAACCTCACACAGAGGTCACCAGAACCTTCCATGAAGAACACCTGTGCAAGGACCTCTGAGGTTCCTGCATTGTCTTCAGGGATGGCTCAGGAGTCTTAGAGAGTCACTACTCATCATGAAGTTCCCACCTGGAATTCACAGGAGGTCCCCTCACTCCACAGTGTGATCCCAACACAAGCACTTGCTGTTTATAGTCCCAGGTTTGCTGACTCAGCACTGGGGCTGTAAAGGTGGCCACACCCAGAGCAGGCTGCCTACCTGGGCGGGTTGTAGCTTGCAAAAGCAATGTGTCCTCCAAAGGCCAGGGACAGGGAGAAGAAAATCTGGGTAGCTGCATCCAGCCACACCCGTGGGTTCTGAAGAATCTGCATCTGGAATGGACCAGGGCAGCCTCATTATGCAGCAGACAGACCACACCAGCCAGTCCATCCGACTATTCTGGAACCTTTGAGGGCACTCTTGTGAGCAGGAGGGTGTGACTTGCTCCAACATCTCAGAAGTGAGCAGGCCTGGAGGTGGTGCCAGGTCGAGTTCTGAGATGAGGCTAACAACCCTGTGGGTAAAGAGCTTGCAGACCCAGGGCTTTGGGGCCGTTGGCTCTTCCCTCCCATACTGGGCATCAAGTTGATTTGAGCAGCTCTAAGGGCAGGGACCATGTATGTATACTTTCTCTGCTGTTCGGGGGGGGGGTCCTGGGAAAAACCACATGCCTCTGCTGCTTCCCTCAGTCCCTGGGAAGCCCACCTTCCATGTGTCCATGCTGCCCTGACACTGGGAGGGGCATGCTAGGCAGGTCCCAAGATCCTGGAGTGGTCTAGAAGGGTCCTAGACTCTGGGGACAGCCCCCCCCCCCGGTCCAGTAGCTCCCTGTTATGGGGACCAGGGCAGGGGCCAGTACCTACTCCAGGTGTAAGACATCTGGTTCCCAAGGCAGCCTCTCTCTTCATTGCACTCTATTCAGCAACATCCCTTGTGTGACTCCCCATTCAGAGGTCCACCTGTCCTGGACCATGTCTTGCATGCTGCCTCATCTCTGAAGCCCTTCTTGAGATCCTGGAGCTGCCCTCACCCTGCATGGCTTTGGGCAAACCTTATGTACAACCTTCCCTAGAGGCCCAGGGCTCACTTACTTTGGGAGTGAACAAGTAGGTCAAACCCTCTGTTGCTCCAGGCAGGGTCAAGCCTCTGATGAGGAAGATGGTCAGCACCAGGTAAGGGAACAGGGCTGTGAAGTAGATCACCTGAGGGACGTCAGGTGTCAGATGTGGAACGGCACGTGTCACAGCAGAGCCTTTGGAGGGACAGGGGAGCCAAAGCACCCAGGGCCAGTGTCCTAACTGTTCTCCTGGGACCTGGCCACCTGAAACTTGGGGAATGTGGGGTCAGGGTGGGACCAGACTCATGTTTTGAACACATCCTCCATTTTCATATGTGTGCCCGGTGGTGTCAGCTGAGGGGGACATTGACTGCCTAGGACAGGTAGGCCTTCCTCAAAGGCAGGAACTAGTACCCTTACGGGGTACCTGGCCTTACCTCCCCCTCCCTAGTCTACTTCACACTCTCTTTCCCACCCCCCCAGCCTCCCCTCCCATCTTCCAGTCCTCCCCTTCCCCAGATTTCCCTCCCATCCTCCAGCCTATTCTTCCTCAAGTCCCAGACTCCCACAGTTCTCCAGCCTCCTCCCCGCAGTACCCAGCCTCTCTCTATAGCTCCCTTTCTAGCCTCCCCATTCTTAGTCTCCATCCTAACATCCCACCCTCACTCTCTCACCTCCACAGCCTTCAGCGTCTCCTCTGCAACCCCTTCCCAGCCCCTCCCACCTGCGCACTCCATCTGCAGTGGTTCTGGGCTCTACTTCGTCTTTCTTGGGCACACTTTCTTCTTTCCCTGCATCATTTCCTCCTCCTGGGCCCCTCTCCAGACTCCCTCTCACCCCAGCCCACCCCCTTCTCTACTCACACTGGGCCCGGCTAGTGTGTTGCTCACTGGTGTCCTAGAGGGAAGGATCTGCAGGGGACAGTCCTCCCCCATGTGTCTAGAACTCATGAGAGACCACAGGATCTGCCAGCGCATTTTCAAGGGCTTTCTGATGGGATTATGTGAAGCCCTTGAGTGAGAAAATTTATCATCTCAGTAGCTGGCTGAGAACTGGACTGGGCATGTGGATTCTGAACAGAAGTTCTGCAGTCCCCAGTCAGTGGCAGAGCCACATGAGGACACAAGCAGTTCCCTGAACAGAACGTACACATGACAGTATGGGGGACCTCTGAAAGCACCTGGGGCTAGAGGTCCCAGTGCTGTCCCAAGGACCCACAGTGGCCAGCAGGACCAAGGTTCTCTGACTCTTTAAGAGGCAATCACCTCTTTAGAGCAAAGCCAGTCAAGGCTTGTGCTATTAACACATTAACAGCAAAAAGTGGGACAGCAGCAAGCCCAGAGGGACGAGAAGGGAGGGAAACAGAATGTTCTTAAAGACACACAATGAATGGGGTTGTCTGCCGGCGAGCAGGGACAAGTTAGAAGCAGGGTCATCGGTGTTCTCGGCAGCCCCATAGCAACGCGGAGGCAGCAAGCCACGGAGGGTGAGTGGGACACAAAACTTCCCAGAGAAAGAACAGCAGGAGGAGACATCAGGCAGGGCCCACGAAAGATAGAACAAACCCCAGTCATATCCACCCTCACCCTAGGGGAGTGGTCCAATGCCCCAGTAAGACAGAGGTGGTCAGAGGGGGAAGAAAGAGACCCAATCAGATGCTGTCAACAAGAGAACGCTTTCGACAGAGACACACAGAGGAGGGTGGACCGGGCAAGGAAGTGCTCTATAGCCACAGAGCGGTCAGTTCTCCCAGAAGGCAGCATCCCTGGAGTGCAGGACCTCGCACAGGGTGCAGGCAGTGCAACTCACCTTCCCCGTGCTCTCAATGCCTCTGATGACACACAGGTACACAACTGTCCAGCAGGCCACCAGGCAGAGGAACAGTTGCCACTGGATAGTGCCACTGTTGCTGATGTCAGCCGTGATGTTCAGCGTCTGCCGGTACCAGAAGTAGCTCACGGTGCCACTGCCCTGGCACTCCTGCACAAACCCTGGAGCCAGAAACACTGTCACTGGCTGTCCACAGGACTTGGGGACAGTCCACACTAATGCCTTACATGCTGCCCAAGGACTGCAAACGCCGTCACATCTGACCTGTCACCACTTGGGTTGGTTTCATGGACTCCCTTCTGAACCCAGGACTCCCGTGTGCGCACATGTGTGTGTACATCTGCACGTGGAGGCCTCAGAAACACTATCCATCTTCTTTGAGACAGGGTCTTCTGTTGGCCTGGTGCTCATCAGTGCTAGTCTAGGCTGGCTGGCCAGTGAGCCCCAGGGATCCTTGTTTCTACCTCCACTGGGATTATAAACCTGCGCCACCATGCTCAACTTTTTATGTGGGTTCTGGGGATTGAACTCAGGCCTTCATGCTGGTGAGTCGAGTCTTTTTCCCATTTGAGCTATCTCTTCAGCCCCCAGGAGCCCTTTCTTGCTTCTCTTTGGGCCCGAGACTGAGATGGAAAAGTATCAGTGAGAAGCCCAGCCCCTCCCAGTGAACAAACTGGTCCAGGTGGCTCTGGGCCCAGCAGGTAGCCATAGGTCAAGAATGAAAGTGAAGGCCTGGACTTCAAACATGCCCTTCAGGGGAGACTGTGATGTATACATGCTGTGGCTCCATCTGCCTCTGTCCCAGTGTCACACATGGGGTCTCCAAGTTCCAGGTGGGCTCTTACCTGTTCTGTTGAGGTTCAGCGGGCAGGTGCTCCAGGGTAGTGGGTCTTGGAAGGAGTTGAGTAAGAACCACAGGACCCACACGAGGACAGTGTTGTAGTACAGGCAGACTATGAAGGACACCGAGAAGCAGCCCAGGCCTGCAGACACAGTGGCGTACCCAGGGACAGTGGGAGAATCGAGGGGAACCCTCCCCTCACACGTGGCCTGACACTTCACAGCCTCTGTGTCCTTCCAACAGCCTTCTCCCACTCCCCTGTGCCTGCCATGTCCCTCCCAGGTGTGCCCCAGTCCCCACCGAGAGACCCCAAGGACCTGAGGAGGTGGCATGGTCTGGGAAGGAGGCGCACCTACTCCGCCGAGGTAGGGAGAGATGGACGTCCACACCCCGATGCTGCCCTTTCGTAGGCGTTGGCCAATGGCGAGCTCAATGTAGAAAAGTGGGATCCCCTCAAAAACCAGGGCGATGAGGTAAGGGATGAGGAAGGCCCCTACGAGAGCACAGAGTCACAGCCAGCCCCCACTGCACTCAGCTGCTCGGTGTGGTTACTGGAATGCTGACAGCATGTGGACAGTGCCCTCAACAGTTTAAGTACGATGTGTCTGTCCCCACAGGTGTTTGGGCCATACTGCCAAAGACAGGTAACAGAGACCCCAGGGGAGACATGGAGACCTCCACCCAGACGTTAGGGTCTTGGTTGGTTTTTTTGTTTTGTTTTGGTTTTTTTGGTCTTTTTGAGACAGGGACTCCCTGTAGCCCTAGCTGGCCTGGATTTGCTATGGACACCAGGCTGGCCTCGAACTCACAGAGATCCGCCTGCCTCTGCCTCCCGAGTGCTGGGATGAAAGGCATGCACCACCATGCCCAGCTTTGGTTGTTTTTTTTTAAAGGTAGAATCTCATGGGCTGGAGGTAGAGTCCAGTTATTAATGTGCTTGCCTTGCAAGCATGAGGATCTGAATTCAAGTCTCCAAACCCTTGTTTAAAAAAGTCAGGCATGGGGCTAGAGAGATGACTCAGTGGTTAAGAGCACTGCCAACTCTTGCAGAAGACCTCTGTTCTGTTCCAGCACCCACAGGTGGCTAACAACGGTCTAACTCTAGTTCCAGGGAATCCAGTGTTGGTGCACACTTGCAGTCTCAGTGCTGGGAAGACAGATCTCTGTGGCTCATTGGACAGCCGGCTGACCTAGTTGGCAAATTCCAGATCAGTCAGAGTCCCTGTCTCAAAAACACAAGGTAGATGGCACATATAGGCACACACATATGTACCTACGTAAACAACAGGAGGGGAGAGAGAGAGAGAGAGAGAGAGAGAGAGAGAGAGAGAGAGAGAGAGAAATAGGGTCTGGCCTGGAACTCACAATCTCTCATCTTAACCTCCCAAGTGGGATTCCTGAAATGCCGTAAGAAGTCTGTTTCATAGGAAGGAGATCAAGACCAAAGTGCCCGCCCTGCCTGACCCCAGCCCCATGGAGACCCTGTGCACTGATAGCAATCACCAGTGATCCTCTCCTTCTTCTTGTTCGTAGGCTCTGCACAGAAAGAATTCTTTTTCCCTTCTTCCTTTCTTTCTTTCTTTTTTGGTCTTTTTGAGACACAGTCTCTCTGTAGCCCAAGCTGACCTGGAACTCACTATGTAGACCAGGCTGGCCTTGTACTCACAAAGATCCACCTGCCTCTGCCTCCTGAGTGCTGGAATTAAAGGTGTGCATCACCACGCCCAGCTTTTTTCTTAAATCAGAAAATGTGAAATTTAAAGAAGTGGTTTCTTATTAGGCGGAGTGAGGCCAACTCTGCCCACACCTTCCCACTCCTGCTGTGCTCTGACTTGCTGTAGGACAGATCAGCCAGGCTCCCAAGCTCTAATCTCTGCCTGCCTCATCGCTGTGTAGCCAGTCATAGTCCCTGAAGATGATGCTCCTGTGCCGCTCTGACCAAAGCAGAGACACAGGGGAATGGGAAGGCAGTCTTGCAGGGCCTGGGAGCTGAGTCTGGGGGGCAAGTCAGCCTGGGGTCCCAGCCTGGCCCTATAAAGACACAACTGTCCTATGGCACCTAGAAACAAGATGAGGAGACATTCCTTGTTAGCTCTCACGGTAGCACAGCCTATCCATCCCCTTCTGCAACCCCAGTGTGAAGAGATCAATGTACCAGAGCGAAGGAGGCCGTGGGGGGAGGGGTTTGAGGGGGGGCTTGGTTCTTTTACTAAGTAATGAGCTCTTGTGGGTGGCCAGTTTAATGATCAATTCAATAATGTCCAGAGTCTTAAGTGTTCTGAAGAATCTCTGGGCTCTGCAGCAGAGCTGAAGTTTTAAGGGGTGGCTCACTGGTGAAGTCAGGGGCTCGCTCTGACATATAAACAACCATGAAGAAATCAGCTGGACACCAAATACTGACAGGAACAGAAGCTGCTGCCTGAATTCAAGATAAAGGAATGAAGTGGTAGGGGAAAATGGAGTCCATATTGTGCCTTGATCTGAGACCCTAGAAGGCTAGACATCCTGAGATGGGCTTAAAGGCACTAGGCTCCTCCTTAGATAATGGCAAATTATAATTTCCAAGGGAAAACTGCCACCCAAGGGCATCACCAGCTGGAATGAGGGTCCTCCTCAGTGAGGGCATGGCATGGCAGGCAGACAGCTTACCTCCCCCATAGGTCTGGCACAAGTAGGGGAACCTCCATATATTTCCCAGTCCCACAGCAAATCCGATGCAGCTCAGGAGGTATTGGAGCTTGTTGTCCCACTTGGGCCTCTCGTCCTCACCATCTACAAGTGGGTCCAGTCCTGAGGCCTGGGCCATGCCAGAGGTCACCCTGGATGCAAGTGGGAGTTGCAAGGATGGATGCCTTGTTTCACGCTGGTTCAGTCGGTCCTCTAGAATCTCTGTTGGACTGAGGAAGCTAGAGCAGTCAGCCCCTCTCCAAGGCATTCTTACATTTATTTAAAGGAGCCTAGTTAATTAATAACTGGGGCCAGGTTCCTACCTGCTGCACAGCCTGTCCCCAATGCCCGCATCTACCAGCCTACCCCAGGTCTTCTGTCTCATGTGAGCAATCAGCAGCAGGGCCTGACGCTACCACACTCAGTACGGACTACCTGTTACCTGAGACCTGCAATATTGCTGGACAGCAGGTGCAGTAGCCATTAAAAAACCTATTAATTCTGTAACTAAGCCTGCAGTGTGGAGAAAATCACGGGCTCACTTTCCATAAGAGACAGCAGAGCAGACCCGAGCTCCTCCAAGTGGCACCTCTAGAAGCTCATGCAGCATGTGGGCGTGGCTGTTGAGCTCCAAAGCACTGGGCCTTGAGGCCACCTCCTGCCCTCTCTCAGCTGCTCACCACCATGACCACAGGCAACATGAGCTACCTGCGGTCTTCTCTGATGAAGGCTCTATAAGTGGACTTGCAGCATGCAGCTTATAGCTGCTACTTTTGCCCAACGCAGCCGGGAGACCTCCAGTTGAGCAGTGTGTGCTGCAGGGTGCATGCCACTAGTCTCACCGCATGCTTATTGAGGATGCGGCGCCAATCCCATCAGGGTGCCCCAGGTGCAGCGTGTGAAGTGCTGGCCGTGGCCTTGTGTGGACAGAGGATGTGGTCTTCACGTCTGTGGCACAGGCATGGAGGAGGAGCTTGCCACTACTGCAGCTGTGCCGTGCTTACCTTCAAGCCACACTTATTTTCCAAGTGTCTGCTCACTTGTCAAGAAAATCTCCACCTGCACTCCCAGGCCACACCTACTCCAGATGTTTAGCACGGTTGCCCGCAGATGATCGTGGCCCACAGCTCTCCATGGACAGGAGATTATAAGGTGATGGGAGTTTCCTCCTCATGGGAGTCACTCTTTACCTTCCTCCCACCCCCATCCTCTGCACTAACAGCACCACTGATGTCTGGAGCAGCTGGGCAGGACAGGGTGATGCCTCCATATGTGTCTGTGATGCTCCCTGGGCTCGGAACTCATCCCTCTATCCTGGGGACAGGTCAAGGGCACTAGAACCTGAATTCTCACATTCCCCTGGATACTGCTCTGTCACCTATGCAGCCACATTCCAAATACATGGGTTTCAGAAGTCCAGGCTCTGGGGGACGAATTTTTAGGAGATCCTATTTTGAGCATGAGGGGAAAGGGTTGAGGAAGGGCAAGGGATGGAGGGAGGAGAGGCTCTTGGGTGGGGGAGCGCCTCCTTGATGCCACCCATATGCTGGGTACGTCTCCGGTGAACCTCTCTCTACTTCCTCTCTCTTACCACCTCTGCTCCCAGCTGACCTCGTTCCCACACACCCTCCATGACCTGAGTCCAAAGGCCCACTGGTCACCTGCCAGTGAGCAACAGAGCGTTGGCTGGCATGCTAGAACCATAATAGTGGGAGCTCCCCATTGTGGCAACTGCTGGCCAGTCTTGAGCCTTCTTCAGAGAAATCCCCCAAACCAGAACTGACTGAGAGGTGAGGATGGACTTGCTGACCACACCATCTCCCCAGGTTCTTGGCACCTGACGCAGGCTCTGCTCATCCTTCTGTGCCTGAACAATGACTCTTGGGCCGAGAACATTAAATAGGAGTCGTTTATTGAGACAGGTACAGTTTAGAGTCACCAAACTAAATTTGTCACACTTACAAAGACACAAGGCCTAAACACAAAGCATGGACCAGAGACAACAGAGGATGTGGCTGACCTCTAGCCTGGCCACTCGGGTACAGGGCCTTCCCAGGATGCACACAGAGAGGGCATCCCTAGGACTCACAGGTCATATATTGATGGGTACTGATTGGTATTTTTCCAGCCAAGGTTCCAAAGGCTTTGGACAAAGGGAGATAGGACTTTAAGCCACTTAACGCAAGACCTTGGACAAAGGGAGATAGGACTTTAAGCCACTTAATGCAAGACCCTCATATCCCCAGGGGAACGGCCACCCTTCCTTGTCCCTATGGGATTCTGTGGGTCACATGTGACCAGTGTACATGGAAGGGTGCCTTGTGAGAGGACTCCAACAATGGGAGCTGCGGTTTGTGGTGGAAGGAGTGTGGCTGTGTCTCCAAGTGGGGGGAGTGTGGCACCAGGGCCACCAGTCTCTGGGACAATTCTCAGTAAGTATAGTTCAACTTAAACTTGGACTTTCCATAAAAAGAGTACCTCGCTGCAACAAGCACAGCAAGTCCCACGTGCCTACGGCTGAGCACCTAGTATGAACACTGGGAAGGGTGTGAAACCCAGAAAGAAACAGCATGGGGGCGGGGTGAGAGAGCCAGCCCTGGCTTCACTGTCTGCCACAGGGTTGAGGACCTCGAGGTCTCACTGTCACTGAAGTCCCCAGGGCTCTTGGAGTGTCCTTAAGAGCAGTGGCCACAGATGAGTTACCCTATAACTCTCTTTTTCCAACATCTGGCTAACGATTCATGGCTCACACCCTCTCCAGAAATGCATAGGGCGGCTCCTGCCTCAGCAGAGGGGAGCTCAGCTTGGCTGCTTAGCAGCCTGTGCAGCTAGCAATGATTAAGCGGGCATACTGGAAGCCAGGCTGTGCCAGGGCCCTTCTCAGCCTCACTGGCCCACCAGCCTCCTGCACTTCTTCTTGGGGAGTAGAAGGGCCAAGACCTTTAACTCGGGAGCCCTGGTCCAGAGCTCACAGCAAGGGGCAGGGAAGAGGGTGGGCATTGGTAGTGACAACATGCCCAGGAACCAGGCTGAGCACAGCCCCACCTCCTGCCTTCCACTCAGAGGGAGGGAGGCCAGCCCTGGGAGGCCAGTCTACACCTTCACTTTGGGCTCTCTCCAGTGCTGGGTGGGTCCATAGCCAGGTCCATCCCCAGGCTGCACTCCACACCCCACAATGAGGGCAAGCAAAGGGCGACCCGAGCCGGAGTTGAAGGCTCATGCATCACAAGTAAATGTATTTTCACACATGTGTCATGTGCACAGAAATAACATAGGCATACACACACATCTGTAGATAATGCATAAACATGTGTGCATATGTTCATACATGCACACAGGTAACACTCTCATATGTGCAGATACACACAGATACATATATGTACAAGGGTTTGTGAATGCATATATACACATGTGTATATCCATATCTAATATGCACATGTGTAAATGCATCTGTATACACAGCACACATATCCACATTCATACATGTGTGCCCACATGTAAACACGTATATACATTCAGATAATGTATGTGTACACACTTCCCCTGTATATATGTACAACACATGCACACTTATCATATACAACACAGACACGCACATTCATTCACATGCATATAGAGACATACATAAACTCATACATATACACTCATGTACATGAACCACATATGTGCCTGCATATCTATATAAACATACACATGTGTACAACTGACATAAACACATACATGTGTACCACATGGTTGCACAACCTATACACATATCTATGATACATGAACACTTGTATGTATACTCACATATTCACACATGTGGCAGCCCAGCCCCCCCCCAAGGTCCTGCCACTTCCTGTCCTCCCCACACTGTCTTCTGTCCAACACAGGCTGGATCCACTCAGGACTTCAAGTCCCCATTCACTGAGGTTGTGGACATCGTGCTGACCAGCCCATGGCGGTCCCCTGACTTCTGGCAACGGTTCCTGATGAATGTGTAGATGGCAACGCAGGGGATGGTAAGGCAGGGCACCCCAACCACGATGACCACCACTGCATACACCCAGTTAGGGTACAGGACCTTCTGGGATTTGGGGAACTCCTCCTGGGGAGGGAGAGAGCCGCAGGTGATACGTGGGGCAAGGGCCTGTAAACCCCATGATCTCACCTCACCTGTTTCTTTGGGTAGAGCCCTCTTTGCCTCCCTGATACCCCCACCATCTACTTCCTGCTCCCACAGGGCTTCCCCGTTTCCAGCCAGCCACTGCCCGGGGACTCACGTAGTCAGGGTTCCAGATGCTGTACGTGAGATTTTTGCTGACCTCAGTCACAAAGAAGAAGAGGAAGATGACCAGCATAATTAGCGGGCTCACCACTCTCCATGAGACTTGCCAGAAGATGTTGGGCTTGTGGCCGATCATGAACTCGATGTCCTTGTTGAACCTGCAACAGTGACAGGCCAGAGGGCAGCATCACTGGTGGCTCATGAAGGCCAAGGACTGACTGGTCTTTCTGCATCTGGACAGTGGTGTTATGTTGTCTTGGGAGGTTGTGCCTCGGCTTCCCCTCGATGAGGTTTACTGCCTTTGCAAGCAGGGATGTGCCTGCACCGAGAGGGGCCCCAGGCTGTCACCATCAGCAGCTGCTACCCCAGCTGCTTGGAGTCCCCACTGCACTGTGATGCACCAGCACTCTGATGTGAGTTCACCTTCAGAACTTTCACATCCTCACTCACCACGCAGACAGTGGCCATCAGACTCACCACCTTCCAGTGCACATAAGACTTGGTAGCCCTTGGGTGAGCAGCAGCACCCTGAGGTTAGGCGGTGCCCATCGTTTCCTGATCTGCTCAAAGTCTACCCTGTGGTGGGTGCCTCTTCGGCACACGGGGATTTGCTGTGATCGGAATGGAACAGGCAGAACAAAATGACAACTTGTCCAAGGTCCCGACAGATGCTAACACTTGGACAGAGACTCACTGAGAGTCCTTGAAAAGCCCAGCCATAAGACTGTCCCTAGTGCAGTGCCCACCTCTTTTCACATCTCTGGGAAGTCACCTTCCTTACGCTATTCACAGGTGGTATGGTCTTCAGACCACTGTGCACATATGTGCATCACAGCTACCAATTGGCCACCGCCCACTCCACATTCCTTGATGATGCCCCGTGATATCACATCACATGACTGGCCCTATGTTCCTTGACCTCCCCATCACTGCCCCAGGCTGTTTGAATCTGGTCCCCACTCATGCTGATGTAATCCTGTCCATGTCCCTTGGGACTTTTGCTTTTAAGGACTTAGAATAGGTTTTCTAGAGCAGGGACCTCATTGAAAGGGCTTGCACCAGCTTAATTTAAAAGCATACTGACAGATCATTCTATAATAGTTGCAATCCAGGCCCTCTTAAGGATGTGATTTCCTGGATCCTTCCCCAGCAATGGTGACAATGCCCTGAGCTGTCTGACAAGGTGGACGGTTGGAAGTGGCCCTTGGTTCTTAGTGGTGGCTCTCCCTGTCTTTCTGTGTCTGAGTTCTGGCTAGCTGCTGAGCCTTCCCTGCCCCTAGAAGGGCCTATCCCACCCCAGAAGCACCCTGGCTATAGGCTCCAAGTGGGTGAACAACAGCCAGTGCCTTTCTGCCATAAGACATATGAAGCCCATGTCCTTCAGAGCCTGAGTCCTACTCCTCACACGCCTCCCCTCCACGGACTCACTCACTTCCCACCTTCACTCTATCTTTGTCCTAGGGCTGCTTCTGGGACCCCAAACTGAGGGTCTCGTTTAGAGTAGATTGTATCTTTTTTTTAAATCTTGTTGTCTTATATGTCTGAACCGTCGTTTGGATTTTCTTTCTCTGGTGCCCCAAGTTACTGTATGTTAGTTCCTCGTACACCTGCAAATGCCTGTCCTTGGGTGGCCAGGTAGGTCCAAGGGCATCTGGGAGTTAGAGATACAGTTTGCATTACTTCTGATAGGACATGGCACCCCTTCAGCCAGGTCAATCCTGCATACTCTGGTCTCTCCCCAGCTCATAGATCCAATGCCAGCCCACTCCCATGAGGGAAGTCTGCACTCAACTACATAGTAGTGGAGGCCACGTGCCGTGGCACACCTACCTCCCCGGGGCTCCCACCTGGCTGACTCAGCAGTTTTTCTGCTAGAGATGGCCTGCTGCCACTCCTACCTGTCCACGCCGTACACATAGACAACAGAAAACATCTCAAAGAAGGCGATGATCAGTAGAGGGATGGAGCCAGCGTAGTCGTCCAGCAGGGAGAGCCAGTACTGGCCGGAATTCAGAGTGAAAATGAAGGCGATGAGATAGGTCCCCAAGCAGATGAGGCCTGTGGGCCAGACAGGAAGCCAAGCTGCAGGCCGCCCAGCCCTGGGCCACACCCAACATCACCACCAGGAACACAAGCGAGTCTCCCTCAGAGGGTGGGCCATGTACGTACCAGTTATCAGCTCTTTGGGCCACTTTGCGGGTATGATCTTGAGGTCCTGAAGGGGTACGACCACACCTTCCATGTTCCCAAACATGGACGAGAGGCCAAGGCAGAAAAGCATGATGAAGAACAGCACCGACCAGAGTGGGGACACAGGCATCTTGGTGATGGCCTCAGTGAAGACGATGAAGGCCAGGCCCGTCCCTTCCACGCCCTGCACCAGCGCACAAGGTCACCTGAGCCCTCTGTCCCACCTCTCCCCTCTTATGCCAGTCTGTTGGTATCCAGTGGCCACACACATCACCCTGATGGCACTACCCAGTAATCCCACACTGAGCAAGGACTATGCAGACTTGGGTCATTTTGTGAAAGATCTTTTGTATTTTAGTCCCCAGTGAGTGGCACCATCTTCCAGTAGGAGCAAAGAACTGTGTTACAGACAGATGCAGCCATGGCCACAGGGAGGTGCCCAGACCACGGCTGTGCATCCATCCCATAGATGGGCTCTCCCATTTAGGACCTCAGAGTACTCAGAGATTAAAACAGGACTTTGAGCCAGTCTCCTAAACGCACAGCCTAAGCACGCTCCAAATTCAGATGATGGCACAGGTGGATCATGGGTGTGTGTGCACTGAGGTGGTGTGACCAGGTTCCCGTGGCCAGTGGTTCTGATAGTAAAATCTTTAGGGAGAAATTTCAGCTTGGTCAGGAACTGTCCTCAGGTGGGGAACCAGGACTGAGGCCATCAAGGTCTCTTCGCTACTCCAGCTGGCTTTGCAAATCTCTATCCTGAAGAATACCTCATTACTTTATCTGGGCCACAAGAGATATACATAGAGCCAGACCCAGAAAACAGCCACCACCCTCCAAAATACAGGACGACTCTGAACTAAGGGAGCTGTGAGATTGGATGTAGAATTGGTCTATAAACTATAAAAGCTTGTAAATATTATTCATTGGAACTACCTCAAAAGATTTTTTTTTTAAAGAAAGGGTCTCTCTATATCTCCAGCTGGCTAGAACTTGTTATGTAGACCAGGGTGGCCTTGATCTCACAGAGATATTCCTGCCTCTGCCTCCCAAGTGCTGGGATTAAAGGTGTGACCATACCCAGCATTTCAAAAGCTTCTGTTCCTGAGATAATGTGCAGGTATCTTCAGCATCCTGAGTCAGAGGAGGCCAGCCCAACTCTAGTCACAGTGAGTCCAGAGACAAAGTTATATAATTCTTTTCACTTGTATAGAAGGAATAACATTAAAAAATGGACTACAGGGACTGGAGAGATGGCTCCGTGGTTAAGAGCACTGGCTATGCTTGCAGAGGACCCTGGTTTGATTCCTAGCACCCACCTGGTGGCTAACAACTGCAACTCCAGTTCCAAGGGACTCTAATGCCCTCTTCTGACCTCCATGGGCATTGCACAACACAGGTGCATCTACCTATATGTAGGCAATACACTCATACACATAAAATAAAAATAATGAAAAAATATTTTTTAAAATGGACTGCATGTGGAGTCTTGTATATTTTACGTGAAGCTGGAAAGGGTCATGATGGGTAGACAATGATCCCTTCCTCCTGCCTGACTTTCAGCTTCCACCTCCTCTAGAGGATGAGATGCTGACCATGCATAGCTCCTTGTGTGACCCTTATGGTTCGGCCGAGGCAGTCCTTCCTTCGTTCTTACTCCAGGCTCTGATGGCACAGAGACCACGGCCTATGGTACTAACCTCAGAAAGGAAGGAGTTCAAGTCACAGGTCTGGAACTTCAGCTGTGCATAGGCCTCCGGGTTGGAGTTATTGCACCACTGCTGCATGGCCTCAAAGTTCTCAATGGTCACATTGGCTTCGGGCAAGTCAAAGCCATTGATGAGAGTCAGGATGTTCCTGCAAGCAGGAAGAAAGGCTGCTGCAAGTCCTGGGCAGGCCCACCCAAAGGCTGAGCTGGACGAGGTGAGGAGAGGGGAGGGGTCTACATGCATGCCCACTGGGCACAGTCCAAGGTGCCAGGGTGGCAACTCACGTGCTGACACAGGCATCGTAGCGCTCAGTAGCACGGAAGCCAATGATAGAGTAGATCACGGTGGCCGCATACACAGACGTAAAGCCGTTGATGATGGACACAATCACAGAATCCTTCTCACAGTTGTTGCTGAGGACAAGAGTGGTGTCACCTCAGGACAGCACAGCTGGCCCACAGATGAGGACAAAATCCCCGGTCAGAGGCAGCATGTCCAGACCTAATGCTGAGTCTGAACAGAGCTCACCAGTGAGCAAGAGACTGCAGTGATGTAGGGAGACCAGGGTCATGTCATATGGCCACATGTGGGCCCTGGGGACTCAAGAAGGCCAGAGGGCTGTGTCCAGATCCTGAACCCACAGCGGCTGCTTTCCTTACCATCTTCCAGTCCTCCTCCTCCACATACCCCATGGCTGTGGAGATCCTCCGAAAGCCCATGAGGCATAGGGCTGGGGATGTTTAGGCTCAAATCCCACCCTAGGCCTCAGTCAAGCAGGCAGACTCATGGAAAAAGGACAGCCCTGACCTCTTGGCACCATCTGTGGAGGTCTCTGTGGGCTGGAGGAGGAGACCAGCCCAGTGCTCTCCATCTGTAACCCCCGATCCATCTAGGCTGCTCGAAAGATGGGACTTTACCAATTTATGCCATAGGGCTTTGTTTACATGAAATTATGTGAGCAATTTGATCTATATCCCCACAGGCTGGGTGGATCCCCAGACTGAGTGGACCCCAAGGGCTGGGTGGACCCCAGGATTGGGTGGACCACCTGTCTGAGGTGAAAAGAAGGCAAGTAGATAATGGAAGTTTCCCAGTGGGCCTTGCTCATCCTGGCTGGCAGTGGGGGCAGGGCACTGCTACCCTAAACATTCAGCCTTGCAGCCCTGGTCCTCCCCAGCAAAGGATGCTCACCTACAGCACAGGACTGGCTGTCCTAGGCGCAGGTCCCAGATGGATCTCTGACCAACCAAGAATCCCAGGGTTGGTGCATTCTAGGTAGCACAACTAGGTAGTGTGCTCCTGAGTATCGGGGTACAAAGGTTGTGGCCTCAGCTCAGGGGCCCACCCAAGGTTTTGGCCCTTCTCCTCTCCTCTCTGTGCTCTGGACTCTTCACTGACTTTCTGACCTGAGCCCCCGGGATCCCAGCTGGAGACATTCAGCACCTCCTGAACATACCCTGACCTCCTGATCCCAGTCTTCTGACCCTAACCACCAAACCCTGCTTTACATTGTCCGCTGTGGCGTCAAAAGCAGAGTATATGAACCAACAGAAAAGTGTGAGTCAAGCTGAGGTATGATACCACCCCACTGGAAGGAAGGGCTACCCCCAAAACACAGACAATCACAAGAGTTGGCAAGAACGGAGGGAAACTGAGGCCCTCCTGCACAGAGGGAGGGAAGGGACTTGGAGTGGTGCAGAGATTTGGAGAGCGGCCTGGTGGCTCCTCAGATGGTTGATCGTGGAGTGACCTGACAGCACGTTCCCTCCCAGTGAACACTCGGCTCGGCTTCTCAGCAGGCAACCAGCCAGCCATACAAGACGGACGCAGTGACACTGTAGAGCAGGGGCCCTTTTGACTCAGTGAAGCCAGATGCCAAAATATACATGCCACCAATCCTACGCACAGGAAGAGCTCAAATAGTCAAAGCAGAAAGGAGCAGGGCAGTACTGCCAGGGGTCCTGGGGGTTCAGGAGGACCTGCTCGTGGGAATGTTCTAGAACTAGACGAGGGTGAAAACCACACACTCTGTGAATGCACTACGGCTACCAAACTGCAGTCTCACCCGGGTGAATTGTGTGGCATAAGAATCGTCTGAATAAAATGATCATAAAAACAATGCACTCACATTCCTGCTTGGGCCCCAACCTGCCGGGGCACTTCCAGGGCTGCTTTCTAGCTCCTTCCCCACAGCACCAGAAGAGTCTTCTGAAGCCTGGGATCCATCATTCAGTGACTGACTGCAAGGCCTTGGTTCAGATGGAAATCCTAGCAGGTCCACCCAGTTCCGGTGCATCCCCTGCAGGGCCTGCCCTCCCAGGTCACCGAAACCACACACCACGCCCTCCAAGAATAGCCCATCTCTAATATCATACCTATTGCAGGCAACACCTCCCAGAAAAGCCCCCCCCCCCGCTCCCCTGTTCTAGCCCTGGCCCTTGCTGCCTGGACCTCTCCATGGACCTGCCTACTCTAGCTGAGCCTGCACAGGTCAATTTTGTCAGCCTGAGTCACCAGGAAACACCCTCATCATCCCTATCCCCACCACCCTGCTCCTGTGGTGGTCCTCCTTTGGACTCATCACCTCAGATTACTGGCTAATTCCATGGTGGTGGAGAACAGGCCTGGCTAGGCACACAGTAGGTACTCCATAAGCCTTTGAGTAAAACAATAAGCGCTATCTAGATCCCTCCTGGAGGCTGCTGCGGGCTGCTTATAGCTCGGGACCTTTCCAGGAGATGCTGGAAAGGGTGTAGATCTGAGGTCAACGGGGTCAAAGCCCTAGGATGTGACTTGTGTTCAGGGTAGGGTGACATGGAGTTGTGGATGTAGGAGGAATCAGGGAGCAGAGCTCATTAAGGGATCCAGTTGAGGAGACCTCCTGGAAGCCTGTACCTGTCTTTCCTAGCAGCTCTGTTTTGTGGTCAGATGGAACTGGGCACTGTGTTCTGCAAACACTTGCACCTTTTTGTTATTAACCACACAGCAGAGTTCCCCATGGTTTGACAGGGAAACTGAGGCTTAGACACCAAGAAGGCCCCATAGCCCCGAGCCTGAGGGCTCTCCCCGCCACCCCACACTCACTGCACAGAGTTGTAGCTGGAGAAGGAGATGAGGCCCCCAAAGGCCAGCGAGAAGGAGTAGAAGACCTGAGCGCCTGCATCCAGCCACGTGTTGGGGTTGGCCAGTTCTGTGACCTGTTAGATAGGAATTCGGCTGTGACCACAGGTACCAGGCTTCCCCTTCCGCTAAGGGTGCGGCTAGCTCCTTCCCCAGGAGGGGATGCCATTCCACACAGAGCAGCAAAGTCAAGCCATCCAGCAGTCCCTACACCAGCATGCACATGTTAAGGGCCTGTGAATAGGCTGTCCCCTTGCTGGACTCTTGCTGGACCCTTCCCACACATGGCACTGGCTGGACGTCAATCGGTTTGGCTGTCACTCTGTGGATGGGACCTGACCTTGAGGCCAGGAGGACTTAGTATGCGCCTCTTCCATGGGATCTGGAGCCCCAGGGCAGCCAACAGGTAGATGGCAGAGACTCACATTGGGTGTGAAGAGGAAGACGATGCCATTGGTGGCGCCCTTCAGAGTCAAGCCACGGATGAGGAAGATGGTCAACACAATGTAGGGCAGGGTGGATGTGATATACACAGCCTGTGGGGGGCAGAGGAGGGGAAACCATGTGGGATGGGGCCAGGGTTCAGACAACGAAAAAGGGCTGACCATTCAGGATGCCCTGTTCTCCCTTCTGCTGAGGGCACAACTCTGGGGGAGATTGGGTCTCACTCTCCCATTTTCCAATCTCCTTTACTGTCTGACTCAGCTGGAGAAAGATTTTTGGATTAGTCTTGCATGCAGTTCTAAAGTGTGGTTTGAAAAACATCGGGCCAGCACAGATACACCAGCCTCATTTGAGAGACCCTCAAGACTGGTGACAAGGGACAGCAGGCTCAGCTGTGTGCCGCACCTTTCCAGTGGTCTCGATGCCACGGATAACACACACATACAGCGTGCTCCAGGCGCATGTCAGGCAGAGCAGGATCCACCACTGAATGGAGCCCGAGTCACTGATGGAGGTGGAAATGTTGAGGGTCTCTCGGTACCAGAAGTAGTCCACGGGGGAGCTCTTGGCACACTCCTCCACATAGCCTGTGGGAGTGGGTGTACACACACATCAGGGTATGGGTCAACAGTAAGGACAAGTCAGGAACACGCCACGGAGAATGGCAATGTGGAGCATTGAGCAGCCAAAACCTGGTTGGTATCCTGAAGCATTCACAACAGGACAGACACCCTCTTGCACATGGACACAGCTCATGCACACTCGTGGGTACATCTTCATGCACACACTGCATACCACATACTCCTGAACATGCACACCTGTGAGTACACATGTGCCACCTGTGTGACCTCTGCTAAGAGATACTGTAGAGGCCCAGACCTCTGAGCACCAGCTCCTTTCTGGCCCCAGGGAGAAGGATCCCCCTCCACCCACACCATGGAGCAGCAGGCACCAGGTCTTCAGGACTCGGGCTATGGCCATACCCATGACAGTCCAATTTCATGCCACCTCACCACCATAGGCTCCCTTTTCAAAGAAAGAACTGGGGCTCTCTTAAGGGAACAGTCTAATTAAGAGTGCTAAGACAGCCTGTAGAGGGCTTGTCCTATGGCCAAAGCGGGGCCATCTTGACAGGCTCCTAAGGATGCCTGTGAAGACCTCAAAGTCACTCTGTGCTGGTCAAGATGAGCTACTAAACATGTCACTCATGCTCCTGTGCAGGTGTGTGGATCTCTGTAAGGCAAGCGTGTCCCACAGACCACAGACAAAAATCTGTGCCTCCCTTTGTCTCCATATGAAAAGGGCCTGGGAGGGGAAGAGGTAGTGTAGATCACTTGTGGCTGGCTGAGCGGCCTCTCTGTGCGAAGACACAGGGGATGGAGCAGGGGGAGTCCTGTAGTCTCTCAAGGACTGGCTAGTGACTTGGAGCCACCTGGACACTTCCTTTCCTGATGGCCCCAGCCACAGGACCAGAATGGTATAGGAAGTCACCAAGCTTAAGGCTTTCTTAGACTGTGGGTTTTTAAATTTTGTTTTGTTGTAACAAAACAATTTTGTCTCGCACAGTAGGCCCAGGCTAGCCTAGGCATCACAGCGTAGTAGTCTAGGCTGGTCTCAAACTTGTAGCAATCCTTCTGCGTCAGCCTCCCAAATGCTGGGGTGACAGGCATGACTCACTGCGGATCTGTGTGTGTGGTGTGTGTGTGTTTGCAGTTGCATGTGGAAGCCAGAAGTCAATTTCAGTATCTTTTCTTAGTGGCTTCACCCTTGTTTTTTAGTAGCTTAGTAGCTGCCCACCTTGATTTTTTAGGACACTCTCATTGAGATGTGGGGCTAGCTGGCTGGCCAATGAGCTCCATGGGTCCTCCTGTCTATACTCCCCTAGCTTACTGGGATTACAAATGCACGTCACTATGCTTGGTTATTTACGTGGGTTCTGGGACTCAAACTTGGGTCCTCAGGTTTGCAAGCCAAACACTTTACTGACTAAGCTATCCTCCCAGCCCTGGCACTGTGGAGTTTCCAATGCTCTATTGCTTTTAAGATGCTCTGGGTTTTGCCAGCCCCGGTCTCTAAGTATCTGATGCTTAGAAAAGGAGCGGACAGCTGGTCACAAGGTGTGGCTATCTGCCTAAGAAGGTGCTGGCAGCTCTGCGCCCCTCCGCCAGCTGGGTCGTGTCAGATGGGACAGAGGCTGGGTGCTGTGGTTGCATCCTACTCACCAGAGCGGTTCTCATTCAGTGGACACTCGCTCCATGGAAGAGGTTCCTGGAAGGAGTTGAAGAAGTACCACATGATCCAGGCGATGATGGTGTTATAGTACAGGCCCACCATGAAGGATACGAACATGGAAGCGATGCCTATGGGGAAGATGTCACCATGGAGGGCACACAGGTGAGAACATGGGAACAGTCTGCGCTGTCCCCTGGGGGACAGTGGGACGCCAGGAAGGGCCTGTTCCCCAGCCTGTAAAGCGAATACGGCCTGGGCCAAGGTGTAATACCATTTTTATGGGCACCTGATTCGCCCAGAGTGGGCTGAGAGCCCCACCTGCTCTGCCTGTAGCCCCCAGAAGACACGTCCACACAAGTGGCCACAGAGCCCTTGCAAGGAGCCTTTTGAGGACTTCAATGGGTGTGGTCCTGCCTAGGGGCAGCCTACCCGGCCAACCCCAAGTCAGAGACAGGTGGGTAGAGGCAAGAAAAATTCTTCCAAGAACTAGTGAGGGAGACCGGCAGAGCTCACGGGGGGCAACTGTTCAGTGCTTGGGGACAAGAAGGCTAACTTGTAAGGGGTTTCATGAGCATACTTTTCTGATACGGGAAACTAAAAATCAAATGTGTGTGTGAAGAGAAAGGGAGAGAGAAGAGGGAAGAAAGAGAAAGAGGAAAAACCTGGGAGACTCAGAGTGACAGGGTGCAAAGAGAACGGGGGCGGGGGACTTGCCATCGGGGAGAGGCCGCTGTGTGGGCTGTGAGCTGTCCAGCCCTGTGGCTTCTGGGACAAACACCTCCAGACTCTCTTTGTCCATGGACCCTGCCCTTCTCTCCCCTGGCTGGAGTGCTCACACCACCTCCCCACATTCTGAGGTCTCAGCGAGCCGTGTCTTAGTGAGGCTGTAGTAGGTAGGGCCACCTCCAGGCCAGAATTTGTAAATGAGTGACCACATCTGGGTTGGGGTCAGTCCTGGGCCTCCTTGCTAAATGTGTGTTTGTGGATAGAGGAAGTCATGGAAAGCGGGCAGCTAGCGCCTCCTTCTGACCTAGAGGCCCTTGCAGAGCCTGCCCTATGCAGGCGGGAAGTAGCTACTCTCCTCCAGCGTCTGAGCCTCCTTGTCGCTGGACTGTGAGGACTCAGGCAGCCTTTACTGGCCTGTCTGGTTCCTGAGGATCATGAGTGACCTGGTCTGGGCACTACAACCCACACTCCATTGATTTTAATGAAGGGTTCCTGAGGGTCTCTGGGGTGGCAGGTGCTGGAATTGGTTAAGAAAGCTGAAGAGGAGTCAGACTGGCCCTGCAAACTCCAGGCCAGATGGGAGAATGGACACGTACCTACACCCTTCAGAGATGGGTGGATAGAACTCCACACGCCCACACTGCCCTTGCGTAACCGCTGGCCAATAGCGAACTCCAGGTGCAGCAAGGGGATGCCCTCCAGCACCAGCAGGATAAGGAACGGGATCATGAAGGCCCCTGGATAGGAAGAAACAGAGCATGTCACTGTAGGCTGAGATGCCACCACGGGAACAGGCACTTACAGAACTTTGTCCTTAAAGCCGCCAACATCCCTATGGCCCTTGAACAGAACTGAGATGCAGTAGCAAGCTGTTGGGAGAGGGGTCACAGCAAACTTCACAGCCTAGAAGGACCCGTTAGCAAGCACACAGTTCCCACGTAGGTAACACTGTCCACAGGCTTGAGGAGCACACGCTGAGAGACAGTGCTACTGTACTTACAGACAGCAACAGAGCACCGTGGAGACCTACCGGCGGGGCTGAGTTGGTCCCAGATTCCTTGCTGTCCAGAGCCATGTAAACAGAGGGACAGAGCCACAGCCTCTGAAATAACCTACTGCAGAGATGCTGTATCGCTACACAGCCAACTAATGCTAAGTCTGTAGCAAGGCATCAGCCTGAGATAGGCCCTCTCTTGGGTGGTAAGGCAGGCAAGCACCCCTCGGCTTGGGCACCTTCGTTTGCAATGGTGTGCGTGCTTCAAAATATAATTCGCACAATGATGGCCTCAAACAGCTGGCCACACTGCCCTCACACTGCAGACCCCATTGTAGCATAGACCCAAGAAACCCTAATATTAGGAAGCATGTTCCTTCTGTGCCTGTAAAAGCAGTCTTCTATAGTGCCCTGTGTGTTTATTCTGTTTCAATAAGAACTATGTTGGGGGCTGGAGAGATGGCTCAGCAGTTAAGAACACTGGCTGTTCTTACAGAAGACGCAGGTTCGAATCCCAGCACCCACATGGCAGCTAACAACTAACTGTGTCTATAACCCCAGTTCCAGGGGACCCTACAGCCTCTTCTGTCCTCCGTGGGCATTACACGACACAGGTGCACTTACCTACATGCAGGCAATACATGCATATACATGCAATAAAATTTTTTTAATTTAAAGAAAGAACTATATTAATGAAAATATTAAACAATGTATATTTAAAAAAAACAGCTATCAAGAGTTGAGAAGGCAACCTGTAGGGTAGGAGGAAAGTATTTGAAAATTGCAGGTCTGGTGAGGTGCTAAAATCCTCAGAATATTTAGATGACAAAACTCAGAATAAAAGCTAGCTTTCATTCACAGACCCCGAAAAGATGTTGCCTCAAAGATGATACACATCTTCCAATAATGAACAAGAAGATGCCATATCACTAACAATGCAGGCAATGCAAACCTAAACTACAAGGTGCCACCTCACACCCAAGAGGATAGCTACAGAAAAACCAAAAAAGCAGAGGCTGGAGAGATTGCTCAGTGGTTAAGAGCACTGGCTGAACTTGCAGAGGACCTAGGTTCTGTTCCCAGCACCCTCATGGCACCTAACAACCACCTATAACTCCAGTTCCAGGGAATCTGCTGCCCTCTTCTGACTTCTGCGGGCATTGAACAGCACAGGTGCACTTACATACATGCGTGCAAAACACTCATACACATAAAATAAAAATAATTCAAATAAAAAATTTTTAAATTAGACATAGAATTACCAAGTGACCCAGCAATTCTACTTCTAGAAATATACCCATGGGAACCAAAATTGGAGCCTCAATGAGGGTTTTGGTGCCTGTGTTCACAGTGACATTGCTCACAGTGGCTGAGTAGATAAACACACCATGGCCCATCCATCCAATGGAATTTTGTCACATGGAGGTTTGCTAAGTGAGATACAAGCCAGTCACAGAAAGAGCAACACTATGTGGTCGGCCAGCAGACATTATACTACCAGAGAAGACAGACAGAGGTTGCAGAGGCAGGAAAGGTTAAGAGCACTGGCTGCTCCTGCAGAGGACTCAGGTTCAGTTCCCAGCACCCACATAGTGGCTAAAAACCATCTGTAACTCCAGTTACAGGAGATCCAGCGCCTTCTTCTGACCTCTGCATCATTGCACGACATGGGTGCACTTGCATACATGCAGGCAATACACTCATACACATAAAATAAAGGTAAGGAATAAAATATTTTTTAAAGAAGTGGCACAGCTGCTACTGTTTCTACTGGAGGCCCAGCAGCTCAGTAAGGAAGTTCAGGCCAAAGTCATAGCATAGGAACCCAAATTTGAGAATGACCTGGGGTCTGGGTGTTTGCAGGCCCAGCTCAAGGCCTAGACTCCCCTTAACACTCTTAACCTCTAGCCCCTGACCCCTCTAGGACCCCTGGAAGTCCCTCAGGAATAATCCAGAGCAGAGAGCTGTGAGCCCACCATGGCCCCAACAGCATCACAGTCCTTCACGCTCAGGTGTCCCTCTCACGGACCCCTGGGTCTGTAACAGGACACCAAGACATCCAATACCCAGCTGAGGAAAGCCTCAGCTCTGTTGGGCCAGGGCACGGCCCCCTGACAGAGACAGGGGCAGAGAGAGACAAAGAGAGGAGAAGCAAGGAAAGGCATCGGATAGACAAGAAGAGACAGAAACAGAGAGAGGAAGACAGACAGATGAGAGACAAAGAGCGATAGGATCAGAGACAGAAATAAGAGAGACAGCAAAACAGGAAAAGTAGAGACAGGAGAGGCAGCCACAAGAGCAGACAGAGCGAGAGATAGAGGGAGGTGCTCTCCCTTCAACAGAAACCCTTGGGTCCCTGGGGCAGGTCAAGCAAGTGAACTAAAGGATGACGGGCTGACACCCACCCTCCCTGAGTCCCTAGAGGGCAGCTCCTCCCGTGTAGGTGGGTCAGCCACTGACAGTCTGGGGGCTCCTAGGGTGAGGCCCAGCTGGCCTTCCCAGCTCTTGGCAACAAGCCTGGAGCAAGGCTTGGGCTCCTATGGAAGGTAACAGGGTCCCAGCCCTGGGTAGGGTCTTCCTCTTTGAGATGCTGTATCTTCTCCCTGTTGGGTATGGGGACTGATATCAGCCATGGAGAAGCTGGGGCTCCAGGATGGAACATCAAGGGCTGATGTCCAAAGGTCCCCAGAGACTTCAGTGCTTCCCGGAGTCCTCGGCATCTGCTGTTTACGCAGAGGGAAGCACCAGCAGAAATCATGACAGAGTAGGGCTGAAAGGAAATGGACCATGCCAGCTCCAAGAAGCCAAGTTCTGTCTTTGAGACATGGGCAAGGGGAGAGAAGAGGAAGGAGACGGCCGGGAGGGAGAAGGCTGGAGCTTCAGGAGAGGGGCAGGGAGAAGGCTGGTGCTTCAGGAGAGGGGTCGGGAGAAGGCTGGTGCTTCAGGAGAGGGGCCGGGAGAAGGCTGGTGCTTCAGGAGAGGGGTCGGGAGAAGGCTGGTGCTTCAGGAGAGGGGTGGGGAGAAGGCTGGTGCTTCAGGAGAGGGGCCGGGAGAAGGCTGGTGCTTCAGGAGAGGGGTCGGGAGAAGGCTGGTGCTTCAGGAGAGGGGCCAGGAGAAGGCTGGTGCTTCAGGAAGGGCCTCTCTTGTTCTCTCTCCAGGAGGTGGTATGTGTGGCACAGGCTTGCGCATGGCTGAACACAAGGGCCACCAGGACTGGACTAGGTGGTCGTGGGCTCACTGGAGAATGCATGAAAAAACGCTGGGGACAGCTGTGGGGGACAGCCTGGTCCTTAGAAGGCAGGCAGCACCCAGATCAGCACCCTGACTACAAGCACTGTTGCTGCCTGGACAGAGAGTGGGCACAGAGGATTCCCCAGTAGACAAGGCCAGGGTATGTGTGGACAGCCATGTCTGAAGCAGTACCTGGTATGAGTGTGCTTCACCTCTGTAGGCTCAGACATCCTGGGTGATCCTGGACATGCAAATACAGTAACATCCGGGTGCAAGAGATTAGCTGACTGAGGCTAGCCCATTCTTCTGTACACCTCTGGCCCAGTGGTCTCTTTGGAATCCCCAAGTGCAGCCTCCAAGCTGCCCCAGTGTTGGAGTCACCCTCAGCATCCCCCATCATGCTATTCCCACTTCAAAGATGAGAACCCTGGGGCCAGGATACAGCAAAGTGAACCATGGGCTGATGCTGGGCTGCTATGTGTCCATACTGCCTTTGAGAACACAGTCCTTAGGAAAAGGGCCCGGAGCAGGCCCACTTCATGTTCACTGCTGAAGCTGGTGGTTAGCCTGTATGATTTTCAGATCTTGGTGGCTAGGCTGAGCTCCTGGAAATCAAGCTGTGGGGAGCAGAGGCTGCCTGATTCTCATGTCTGCTCAGTTTGTGATTCAAGCAGTACAGGAAGTTTGCGAAGCTGACAAGGGCAGCCTGCTGACAGCTACTCAGGAGAGAACAGAGCAGGGTGTGTAGTCTGAGGGTTCTAGCTCCCTAGGAACACTGCCTAACCCCACAGTCCCCTTGTCTACACCACGGTCTCTTGTCCTCCAGGAGCCTGTGAGGGACTCTGAGTCTTTTGTGTTCATTCAACTGTTTCTCTAGAGGCCCAGTGTTCAGAATCACAGCCAGGAACAAATCCATAGTGAAACACTGGGCCCATGAGAAGATGTGAGAACAAGAACCAATCCTCAGGTCTGGAGGACCAGCTCAGGGCCCTGTCCTCCTGAGTCCAACTGGCCAAAATACAGGCTTCCTTTCCTTCTGGCTAATTGTCTAGCCTATGGGGGTTGTGGCCAGCATAGAGCAGAGTGACCCAAAGACACATGGCTCCTCCTCTGGGAGGGATCAGCAGGTCTCTTGGCTGCTTGCAACTGTAGCAGCCGATAGGCCTGGGTGAAGAGTGGCCCCCAGACCAGGAAGTGATCCAGTGCTTCTACATGGGCAGCAGGAGCAGGAGCCTCTCATCCAGACCTAAACCTCCAGAGTCAGGGCTCTGAACCTTCTGCCCAAAGGAGCAAGCCTTCATTCAGAGCCTGCCTGGCTCCTTTCTAACTGTCCTCCCAGGGTCTGCACAGATGTCTGAAACACTGCCCTCTAGCCCACTGTGCCATGTTCCTCTGGGGGCCTGCAGCCCCCATGCCCAGGATTAGTGGATTATGGGCTCAGAGTAGAGATCATCCCACACACTGGGAACTCCTATCAGATGCCCACTGAAACCCAAACCTTAAGGATGCCTTTTTGTGGAAAGCTTCAACAGCTACTTGTCAGGCAGACTCAGGCCCAGCCCTTCTCTTCCAGGCACAGGAATGTCCTGGTCTGTCTGCATCCTCTCTCTCTTCTCTCTCTCTCTCTCTCTCTCTCT